CCCCCGGAGTTTCACCGAATCACCGAGACCACAGCACATAGTAGCAGATCCCGATCTCATGCCAACAAGGGTACTTACAAGGTAACAAAAGGCGGGGAGGGGCAAGGAAAAGGACCCGAAGTTCACCCGAAGCAACAAAGCACTAGCGTACTGCCGGCATTGCAATGGTGTCAATTATTTTGTACATATGCATGTCGTGACGAGTGCAGGGTGGAATTAGTAATGTGGAGGGAGGTGGGGAACTAAGGTGATGATGGAGTCATGTCAGGTGTTTGGAGGGGGAGCATGAGTCGTGAGGTGTATAGATATTAGTTATTATGTTGTCACCTTCGTACATGCGATTGTGAAGAGGAGGATGAGAATCGATAGTAATGCATTTCAACAATGTCGAGTTGTTTTATTCGATATGCAGTAGTAAACAATGTGCTCGACTTCGTCCTTTCCATCTAACCCCATATTACACCGCCTAAGACCCTGTTCTCAAACGCCTCCCGCCCATTACCATGAGTTAAAAGAAATAACCTTTCTAATCCCATTCATAAACGATGTGTGAAAAAAAAGAACGTTACCAGCATCCCCATCATCTTACCCATCATGTCCGCAAACGAAAGACGCAGATCTACTCACATACTCCCTCCTCGTTACTCCTTCTCATCCATCATCGGCGGAGGCAAATCCGTGGGACTCATCTCCTTAAGCTGCGAATGCTCAGGACTAACCACCCCTCCGGTGGGCGAAAAGACATTCCCCTTCTCATTCGTGATAGGTAACAGGGATGTGCTTTCGCCCCTCTCCTCGGTTCGACCGCGCTCCTCGCTATCCATCATGTTATGCTCCTTACCCTTGGGGTTGGTGTGTCGTTCAAAAGCCTCGGGCACCTTTTCGCTAAGGTCAATAGCGACGAAGGATTTGGGGAGTTTGACGCTAGACACGATGTTAGTAAGGAGTCGTGCGAACGAGACAAAATTATAAGACTTACGTGTGGAACTTTGCGCGGAGCGTCTCGAGGACTTCTTTCCAGTCCTGGTGGAGAGTCAGACTGCGGCGAGGAGCGAAGCCAATCATGTGTCTCGAATCGAGTTGCCTGTTGATGTTAGTAATGTTGTGATAAGATGCATGAATCATGACTTACACGTCAAGCGGAGCAAAAGCGTGACAACCCGGCGACAACGTGATACGAATGCTGTAGTTGAAGGTATGCGGTTGATCACCGATGCTAGCATTCTCAGACTCATAGAGTTCAAAGTTGATCTGTGACAAGTAATCGAGCTCGGGAATAGCGTTGCGTTCGATCTTTGTTTTGATACCACCTTCCAGAATGCAGTTGAGCAGGGTGTAAATGTGCGACTCCTTGGTGAAGTAGAAGAAACTCTTTGGAGTGTCGGATGCTTGGAGTTCTTCAAGATCTCCGACAATCTCCTTGAGCAGGGGGAGTGAGGTAAGTAACCCTATCTCCAGCTTCTCTTCGCTCTCGATACCATACTCCTGAGGACCAATGTAATCGAAGAGAACCTTGCAGAGATGGTACATCTCGCGCAGCTTGACGAGACGCGCGTCTGCCTGAGGCTTTGAGGAAGTCGTTCCAACGCCAGAGTACAACTTAAAGTACGATTCGTGCGCATAAGATGGTGCCGCAGGTGCCTTGATCGCAACCTCAGACCTGCGCCTGAAGCCCATACGGTGAGACAAGCTGCCCCTCTCCTTCTCTTGAGGTTTCTCAGCGTTCTGCTCTTTCTCTTTCGCTTCCGCTTTCAACTGGGCTTCCGATGGAGTTAGGCCCACAGGTATCGATTTAGCAGATGAATTGTCGGGCGTGGTTTGCTTCGAGCCATCGGCGATGGATTCTTCGTCCACGAAAGTGGCATCAGGCGTAAACACCCACTCGAGAAAACTGCGATTGTGAAGAGCATCAAACTTCATCGTGTCGTAGAGTTCAGATATCTTGCTAGGATCGACCTTGTCGGCATCGCCAAACTCCTTGAACAGTTTCTCCCAGCGCTCCTTGAACAGTTCAGGGCCTTCGTTACAGCACCAACGGGACTGGATGTGGCTGACATTGGTGTACTGAGACTGCTCTGGTTGCGATCCGGATGTTGGCGACGCTAGTGCAGCTAGTGATGAGATGGCTTCCGTCTCGATCTTCTTAAAGTTGTGGTTCATGACGCGTTGGTGGAACTTGATGAGATCTACTACCTGCCTGACGACAAGATATGGCTCAGGCACGTCCTTGGGCCAAGCAAACTGTGGCGGAGCCTTGTCACCAGCGCGCAAAAGAGTCTTAAGCTTCTTCTTGACCTTATCCATGACATCCTTGGCTGCGTTGGAATCATCGAGCAGATCTTTGCGAACTTGGATGTGTTCGGCCAGATACTGATCCCTGTCTAGGAAAGATGCACCGAAGATTTGTGCGCTGGTCGTGACTCGCCGTTCTGAGCTGCTGAAGATATGTACGTCGTCAAGTACGTCTCTGTTCATCAATAAGAGATCGTTGCGGAAGTTTGCACCCATATCTTGGGTCTGGTGTCGAGCAGAATGGGTTGGCTCGCCTCCCCACTTGATGATCAGCTGTAGCTTATCGAGAATCATGTTGTTATCTTGGGCGGTGATGCGAGACAAGGTGACGCCAGACATGGAATCGCTGCGGTTCTTGAGTAGCTCCGGCTCGTCATCCTTGTTTGCTTTGTCCGCCGCATCTTGGCCTTCAGTTCCTATCGGATCCGGCTTTTGCGCTTCGGGTGTCTCTTCAGGTAGCGTTTCTCCCGGCTGCAACTCTTCCTTTCTCCTCTTTCGGAACATTGGCTTGATTTGTACCTTGGTGCCAGGCCATGCTCCCTTCTTCGTCAAGTATAATTGCAGTTCACGCAGTTTCCTCGGATCCTCTATGCCCTCTTCCATGGCCACCTTTACTGCATCACTGACGCTCTGCAAGGCCGCTTCGCCAATCAAGAGCACTTCCTCCTGATGCCCCTTGAGCAAGTCGACAAAGGGCTTGCTGTGGAAAGTGTACTTGAACTTTTGCTTGGGCGTACGGTCAGCATGGCGGATGACTGAGACGACACCCTTTAGTTTCCATTGTGCTGCAGTCGCAGGAGGTGGCACGTCAACATGATCGGTCGACATTGATCTTTCCGGTTCAAGATCCACGTCTTCGTCGTCGTCTTCGAATGCAGACGGAAGCGGCATGTCAGGATCAGACACTATGCCTTGGGGGAGTGTTGTAGAAGGGGGTGTTGTCGGGTTGAGCAGTGCCGAAGCATTGGGCCTCTCAAACCCGGGCGAAGTTGCAACGGGTGTTGTACTCAACGATGTCTCAGGCGAAGAGGGCATAGTGCTGGATTGTCTCATGTGTGGAAGATGAGCATGGATCGGGCCAGGGTGCACCATCTTGGACATGCTGGGGCTCTTGAAGAGCTTGCCTAGAGTCTTGCGATGGCCTGATCCATTCTTAGTTCCAGCGCCAGTACCGGAAGTACCCTCTGAGCCAGATTGCGCATCAGCAGTGCCATACTGGGCGGCATTCTTATGCTGCTTGCGTGCAATTTCCTTGAGGAACATGTCCTTGAGAATAGTGGCTGCTCTGTCGTAGTAATCGCCGTTGTCTTTGACAAAACTCCAACCATTGACATCGATGACGTAGCTCTGTTCTCCAGTGCGAAGCAAGTCAAAGCCACACACGCGTTGGCCAAAGCCTTCTGATATCTTCGATGCAATAGCGGCCTCTGCATCGCTCAGCTTTGTTACATAGCGGACTTCCTTGCCGCTTGGGTTCCTCTTAACAAGACCGTCGACGACTGGTGATTTCCTTGTTTCAGCATGGCAGAAACTGGGTCCGACAGTATATGCTTTGACATCCTCCGAGTTTTCGACCCGCAGAAACTGTTCGTAGATGTAGCTGCTTCCTGGTTCAGTAATGGCCCTTGGTACTTCAAGAGTGTCGTCCTTCTCAGAGCTCTTGTTGTTGATCTTCCTGAAGAGTCTCCTGCCACCACCGCCATCTTTCTTGTGAAAGTAGATGTGAATATTGTGGTCTTCACCACTCACGGGCTTCTCCACAAAAGGCTTGGTAAGGGTGGCACCATCTACAAAAATGGTGTTGCCGTCGTCGATCAGCTCGACTTTCTTGGGCGCGGGCAGGCCGCCTCCGGTGCCGTCCTCAGGACCCTCAAGCTTTAAGCCAGTTCGCTCGTACAGAGTCTTTGCAAACTCGGCAGAGGGCAGTTTTGGTCCACCGTCTCGACTCACGTCAATGCGCTTCGGTGTGGGCACATTGAGCTTATCGAGGATGCCAAGACACAGACGACGGTCCCACAAGACCTGCTGCATGGGCAAGTCATTGACGCAAAAGGGCTTCCGTAGCCGGGTGTAGGCAATGGCTTTGTCGAGGGGAAAGCCGTCTGAAAAGAAGGAAATGAGGAAGTCGCAGATGGGCCAGTTCTCCACGGCCTCGTCGAGGATAATCTTGTCACCAAAGATCTTGACCTCGAACTCGTCGACGAGCTTTCCAAAAATATTGCGTGCGGGCTTGCTGCGGGCCTTTGACTCGAGGGCACAGACGCCAATTATGCCCTTTGTGGGCTTCTTCTCGCGCATGTCTCTACTGGCCGGGCTACTGCTCGGAGCAGTGCTTCCACTAATGCGTCTTTGGGCGGTACGGCTTCGCGAGCGGCGGGGCTGGGACGAGAGGGGTGGCGGGTTAAGCTGGGGAGAGGCAGGATGTGGTGGGATAGCGTTGTTGTTGGTGGTGGTGGTGGGGGAAGAGGAGGAGCCCTGGGCATGATTGCTGGGGGCAGTCTGGTCATGTTGGAAGAGCAATTGCGTGGGCGAGGGCTTTGTGCCGAGACTGCCATTTTGGCTCGAGGTAGTGACGGAGAAGGAAGTGGTGGCCGTCGTGGTTCCATGAGGGTTATCCATTCTGGCTATGTGAGGGGAAGAGTCAGTAGTGGGCCAGACGAGACAAGACAAGAACGGGTCATGGCATGTGGGAAAAAAGCTGCCGGCCAGGTCGGTCAAGGTGCATGACGTACGCACCTTCGGGCTCTGAGCCGGCTACCGAGCTCCTACCACTCCAACTGTATCCACGATGTGACAGGGCCGACACAAAGGACGAGATGGATAGCCGTTTGGATTCTGCAGGCGCAGCGGCGGCGGCGTGTGTGCCATGTCGGAACGAGTCCGGCAGCAGCTGGGGATTGACGGGGGCGCTTGCAAGACTTGCGCGCGAGTTGTCTAGCGTCGACGAGCCATCGGTCTCGTCGATGGCGGACCCAGACCAGGCATTGCCTAGGTACTCGAGAAAACTGCTATCTGAGGCTTTGGATGCTCGCCGGCCGGGCAGGCTCTGTCGAATCGCTTTTGCGCTCAGCGGAGGCACTGACACGCTCGCCCGCCCAACCGTGGCGGCGCCCGTCTCTGGCTCGCTCGATCGTGCCTTTCTGCTGCCCGTTGCTGACGCGCCGCTCGCCGTGGCGAGCTGTTGCCATGACTGAGTGCTCTCTGTACTTGCCGTGCGGGAGAGGGACGGCTCCATGCTGCGTCTTATACCCGTGCGTGCGTGGGGGTGTTGTCAGACGAAATGCTTGCTTTTCCACAAGCGAGGGCTGGCGGGCGGGCTGGCACAAGGGGCGATGGGCGGCCGTACGTACGTCTTTCACGACTTCATGATGCTCCAGGGGCCTGGGAGGCTGGACTCTTGTATCGTCTGAAGAAGCTCCAGACGGGCCATCACGAACAGTGCGTCACTCTGCGTTACTTGGCGCAATGGCTCCGGTGCTTGGATGTGAATGGGCCGTCTCCCTGCACTGCACACCCATACTCTACCCTTTCGAGCCATAGACGATCGCTCTCGTTGCTGTAGCGAGTATGGTCTGTGCCACGTGTTGCATCTATCGTTTCGGCCCGGCCTGTCCTCTGATGGGCAAGAGGAATGCGCAGCCGACGAGAGTGGCATGTCAGCACATGCTACGCCCACTGGCGACATGGGAGAGCTAGTCTTGATGCTTCGTTTTCCATTGTTGCGGGCCTTCTCAGTGTGTCCACCTGATCGCTGTCCACCATGAGGACCCTTAGGCGACATGATATATATCATACATACAAACTACGTAAGTGCGTGGGCATGCAAGGCGGCCGATGCACCCCTGCGTCGATCCCTTAGCGTCCTGCTCCAGCCGGCCAAGATCTAATCTAATCTCATCTCCGCAAAAATTTGGTTGCGCCGCCAAAAAGTCGCGACAACTCCAAGCACATGCCCACCCTCTAGTTGTGCCTTGCCCACCAACTCCAATCATGGCAAGTCCCCAGCTGCACAACGGCGCTGTCAGTGGTCCAGCCACCAAGCGCCAAAAAACACAGAGCAATGGCGAAAAGAGCTCTGCACAGCTTGTCCGCCAGTCCAAGATATTCGCGCCTTTCAGAGTAAGTTTATGCGACCCAATGAGCTATCCACTGGTAGTTAACCCATTTCCCGTAGACAGTAGGCCTTGTATCTCCCACAGCTGTTCCCTTCACCGCGCTTCCACTCGGCAAGACTACCTTCCAGATCACAACCTCCGTCGGCCGCTCCCTGCAGACATACGATCTCAAGCGCGGACTCAACCTCGTCTTCATCACCCGACCCCAGACGCCCGAGGATATCTCTGCGACACTAGCATGGAAAAAAGTCGTCTTTGCCGCCTGGTCAGGACCCAAGAAGAATTCTGAACGTGGTGTATGGATCTTTCAGCGTGGAAAAAAGGTCGCTGAGCTCGAGCTACCTCGTGGCGGCATCGAGCGCATCGGAAGGCTGGTGGTTCTCGGAGAATGGATCGTAGGATGCGGCGATACCAAGATTGAAGTCTGGCGAACCAGCTCTCTGGAGCACTATACTACTCTCCAAGGGGTCTCCTCCAGCCCACTCTCTGGCTGCATTTGCAACATGCCAACATACCTCAACAAGATCTTTGTCGGCCGCAAAGACGGATCAGTCGAGATATGGAATATCAGTACTGGAAAGCTACTGTACACGCTCCTCCCGCCCGCTGCTGACTTTGGCTCGGTGACCGCACTGCAGCCAACGCCCGCCTTGTCGCTCCTCGCCATCGCATACGAGTCCGGCCCAATCACAATTCACGATATTCGCGCAGACAAGGAGATCATGCGCCTAAATACCGGCGGCTCCCAGAAGCACCCAGCGACATCCATATCCTTCAGAAGTGATGGACTAGGTGCTGGTGATGATGGTCGTGAAGACGGTGTCATGGCAACAGCTAGCAGTGACAGTGGAGACATTACCTTTTGGGACTTGAACAAGGGTGGTCGCAAAACAGGTACCCTGCGAGGCGCACACGGCCCACCTCCATCTGCGAGTGGTGGCGTTGGGGGTGGTATCAGCAAGATTGAATTTCTCGTCGGTCAGGCAGTAATTGTATCAAGTGGCTTAGATAACTCGCTGAAGAGCTGGATCTTTGACGAAACGCCCTTCTCACCCGTCCCACGCATCCTACATTCTCGTGGTGGGCATGCTGCACCAGTCTCGACTCTCCGTTTCCTCCCTTCCAACTCAGACGGTTCGGATGATGTTGGCAAGTGGCTCCTTAGCGCAAGCAAAGACCGCAGTCTCTGGGGCTGGAGTCTGCGAAGAGATGGACAAAGTACAGAGCTCAGCCAGGGCGCTGTTCAGAAAAAGGCAAAGAAGATGGGTTTGTTGAATGGAAATGCCGAGACATCAAAGCACCACACCAAGTTGGAGGATCTCAAGGCTCCTGCCATCACTTGTGTGGCCTGTTCTCTCAACCGTGACGGTGGCATGGGTGCTATGCCGGGTGTGGTTGGCATCTGGAACAACTCGTCAAAAGTGAAGGGCAAGGACAAGAAGACTCCTGAGGTGAACATGACCGGATGGGAGAGCATCGTTACCGGACATGAGGGCGACAAGACTGCAAGGACGTGGTTCTGGGGCCGCAAGCGAGCAGGAAGGTGGGCATTTGATACTGGCGATGGAACTGAAGTCAAGAGTGTCGCAATCTCATCTTGCGGCACATTTGCTGTAATTGGCTCCGCTGGTGGTTCCATCGACATGTACAACTTGCAGTCTGGCAAATTCCGGCGAAAGTTTCCTGCTCGGCTTACTTCAGTCGAGGCGAAGAAGTACAAGCTGCTGCAACTCCAGGCTGAAGAAGCTCTCGGTGGTGGAGATGACTCCCCGCGCAAATTTGCCAAAGGAGAAGGCAAACACAAAGGCGCCATCACTGGCCTTGCCGTAGATGCGCTGAACCGCACGCTTATAAGTTGTTCGGACGATGGCAAAGTCAAGGTGAGTAGAGATACTTTTTCCAGGTGTGACGATACTAACATGACCAGTTTTGGGACTTTGCTACTGGCATCCTGCTCCATGAGATTGACTGGTATCCTATGACGAAGATACTCGGTATACGTTACCACCGCAACAGTGACCTGATAGCATTGAGCTGTGACGATGGCTCTATCCGTGTTGTCGATATTACTACCAAGAAGCTCATTCGAGAGCTTTGGGCTTCTCGCTCCCAGACCGGATTGCAAACACTCGACTACACTTTCTCGAGTGATGGCCGATGGATCATCTCTGCAGCTTCTGACTCCACTGTCAGGGTTTGGGATCTGCCAACTGGCCATATGATTGATGCAATGAAGCTTCCTAGGAAGTGCAACACCGTGGCTTTCTCGCCATCCGGTGAGTTCCTCGCCACTGGCCTAGACGGTGAGGTTGGTGTGCACATCTGGACCAACCGAACGCTCTTTACGCACGTTTCGACGCGCCAAATCACCGAGGACGACATCGTCTCAGTCAGTGCACCCACAGCATCTGGTGAAGGCGGTGTTGCTGTTGTAGAAGCCGCAACCGAAGAGCAGGCAGGAGACGAGGACGAAGATGAAATCACCGTCCCCGTCATGGACCAACTTAGCGACAACATCACGACTCTCAGTCTAGTCCCCAAATCACGCTGGCAAACCCTCCTCCACCTCGACATCATTCGCGCCCGCAACAAACCCAAAGAAGCCCCCAAGGCACCCGAAAAAGCACCTTTCTTCTTGCCCTCCGTCGGCCAGAACCAGATCCAAGGCGTAGACGACGCCAACAGTACCGCCCTCGCCCCATCCACCGAACCCCAAGACACCAAATCCCGCATCTCCAGCTCAGCCCTCGCATCCCGCTCCAGCGCCGCCACCGCCACCGACACATTCAGCCGGCACCTCGCCCACGCTACAGAAACAAGCGACTACACTCCGCTCCTATCCCACTTATCCTCCTTACCTCCTTCCGCAGCCGACATCGCTATCCGCACTCTCGACACAACGGAGCCGTACACGGAACTCCGCACTTTTATCAAGGCGCTTACTGCGCGCCTGGCGCAGCGCCGCGATTACGAGCTTGTGCAGGCGTGGATGAGCGTTTTCCTGAGGCTGCATGGGGATGTGGTGGTGTTGGATGAGGAGGCAGTGGGATTGCTGAGGAAGTGGCAGGAGGAGGCGAAGGGGGAGAGGGAGAGGGTTGGTGGTTTGGTGGGTTATAGTGTTGGTGTTGTGGGGTGGGTGAGGAGTGCGCGGTAGATATATTTTTTTCAGTCCAGTTTGGATCTGTGAGGGGGGGAATTGAAAAATGTTGATGTTTATAGTTTGTCGGGTGTATTGAGAGAGCAACGAGTAGCTAGGTGATTTAAGTTCAGATGCTGAATTGTTGTATATCTCCACGAACGAAAAGTGGCTGCGTGTACCGAGTCTTGTTTTTTTCTCCCTTCAACCTTTGCCTTCTTCATGTTTATCGACTACGTAATACCTACGTCGGATACTTCTTTTTTTTTGGACACCCTGTTTTTGAGACTATGTGACTCTATCAAAGCATCAAATACCACAGCTTGAATTTTTTTTCTTACTTGCTGGTTGAAACCCCGATTTGTGTAAATGTGATGTGCTGTGCGGTGTAGTTGGGGGGGATGGAGGGAAACGGCCCTGTTTTGGCAGTGTTCGTATCTTCGTCATGTAGGGTTTTTGCGGAGCTTTGACGGGCTGATTTGTGGGGTCGTGCACCGCGGGATTGAGATGAGGAGAAAATTTGGGATTGAGGTTGAGGTTTTCTACATGTGGAAAAGGCAGAGGGATTTAGGGGGGGGGGGGGGGCTGTTTATCCATGGCGGATTTGGGGGCGTGGATTTTCTGCAGGCTGTGGGGGATTTTATGATGGTATGTTTCGGGGTAGGTTCTAGCTTTTTTTCTTCTTTTCTTGCTTGATGTTGGAAGAACGTCTATTTGGACTTTGGCTTGGTAATACAACAAAGTTCTACTTAGTATAGGCGTGTAGCGCGTGAATTCAGATAGCTCATAAGGCAGTGATACTTTTAGATTAAGATATGCTGCGTAGTGTATACGAATTGACCAAATATCTATTTTAGTGCCAAGGATACTATTAAAATGACTCTTCTCTTGAAGATTTCAAAATGTCTGGGTTAGCCCTTCAAACAATATGTGGTGCCGCGTGATCTTCGAGATGCTACATACAACCTTCATACCTTTATGCTTCGTATCCATCCCCTCCTTCCAAACACATCTCTTACAGCTCTTCTCCGCCATTTCAGACCCCTCAATTTCGCTTCATTGTTCCCAAACCCCGCACTTCTAGGCCATCTCCATCACTGCCCCTAATATGCTCAAGATCTTCACCGACAAAGAAGAAAATCTCAAAGGAAATAGGAGTATAACAAAGACAGCGGGTAAAAATCAAGTACAAAAAACCGCCTAATATCCGATCTCGGCTATTCTTGACCAATAAGTCGTAGTGTCATGATTATACGGCAAGTATGCCGTCTACAACAACATCAATAACCAGCTATAGCGAGTCAGTAAAAGCCGAGAACACAAGCACAATGCTGAAAATGCTTATCGAAATTGGCGCTTCGTAAACCGCCAAACAAGACATGTTGATCCATGTGGCTATTTTTCTTCTTCTTAGCTTCTTGGCTTCGTCTTCTAATGGATATATAGGTAGTGTTCGTTTTGCTGTTGAGACGAGGTCAAGGCCCTCTCAACTTCACCCTGACATCAACGTTACCTTGTCGCAATCCAAACGACTTTCTTACCCAAAGATCTTCAAAAATCCTCGAATTCCAAAAGATTGAACAATGAAGGCTGTTTCTGCTCTTGCTCTTCTCTTCACTCTTGGAGCGGCCTCGGCCAAGTACTGTCCTGGCTCTGGAATGCTGTGTCACTGTAAGTTTATTCGTCGTTCTTTCTTTCGCATAAAATAGTATAAGTTTATGTACTTTTGCTAATTGCACGATAGATGAGGGAGATTACACTTGCCATAAGACGTGTGTCAAGTGCAACTGCGACCAGGAGGCGTGGGTTGATCACCAGAGACGGGCCTTGGTTTCAAGAGAGTGCAACTTCATCTGGAGCAGTAAACAAAACTGTTAGATGTATGAGGTTGATGCTAGGTGGACTGTGGTAAAGAAGGTTTTATCTCTTAGTTTGCGATGGAGTGCTGTTTGTTGGCATTTGGCGTGGAGTGGCAAAGATTGTGTTTAGTCTTGTATACCCCTGTGCAAGACTGACTTGAATAACAACCGACTCTAATATATTAACTGCAGAAAGTTTTTCCGTATTTACAAATCAATCATGTTATTTGCCTGCTTCGGAACAATCTCGCTCTATCTAACTAAAAGAATTACGAATGTGTCGATGACTTTCCGCCTAAATACGGAGGGTTTCTCTAAAGCGATAATAGGCTCCTGTATCTTGTAACATCACGTAATTCTTCTTAGCCTTTTAAACTCATACAGTAGCTAACCTAAGCTTCTTAGTGTGCCTACGATATGAAAAACTAATTATTGGCTTTCTGGCCACTGCCGAGCACGAATTCAGAAAGCAAAACGCACTCTCCGTGAAAATCCAATCCTGTGGATTTTCATGCGGTCATGTTGACACCGGGATATAAAGGTCCAATCCAAGTATTCATTAGGCCTGATTGGTCAGGTAAATGTCACGTGAAGGAAAATCCTGCACACCAGTGTATATTCATGATTAGAAGAGCTGGGCGGGTGTGAAGACATAAACCTTGAATACCTCCGCACGCATTCGCTGCAGCCGACCAGAGCGACGATGATGCATGGCAAAAGATCACAAAACTTTGCATAAAGGGTATCACCAAGGATTAATCTGAGAGCTAGTACTAGAGCCCAGCTACAATGAACAATGAAGACAGTTTCCAACCAGGCGAAGATCTGGAGGTGCTTAATTCGAGTTTTCCAGGTTTGATTCATTCCTGTAGTTTCTGCAACGTACAGGAACTCGATCCTAGCATGGAACGCAAAAGGGAAGTCAATGATGACCTGCTTTCCGGAACCCTCATCAGGTATCGGGGCTCAAGGATACGAGATGGCGCATTACAAGGCTGCGCTTTTTTCAAGGATGCTTTCGACTCGCTCCAGTCCATCTTGGAAACTCATGGACACGAACAAGCGAGCGATTCTCCCCGTTTCCGACCAGAGAATTGGATACATGAACTGTACTTCAGTGGCTATACGGATCGTCTAGAAACGGCTAGAGGCACTTGGAGATGTGCGGTGGGTGAATTGCAGGGAGACGTGCGACATCCTGAGCAAAAAGAACATTCTTATTCGGTCTTGGCTTGTGAAGGTACAGAGCTAAAAGAGAATATCCTAGCTTGAACGAAGGTTAACAATGGAACAGGAAACCCAGCAGCGGAGAGCATCCTGATTCGACCAATTCTACATGATTTCAAACGGCAGGAATCAGCTTCGTGGGCAAAGCAACGCCTCTATGAGTGCGAAATTAACCACCCAGATTGCGCATTTCCAAGCTCTTCATTTCTACCCAGAAGGTTGTTGGAGATCAATACATCCGGTGAAGAGAAAGGAATGGGCGTCCGCGTTCATCTGATTACTTCCTCCGAACTTGATACCACCACAACGAAATACGCGGCTCTATCCTACTGTTGGGGAGGCCCACAAGAGTTTCAGTTGAATGGCGGCACAAAAGACATGCTAAAGGATGGGATATCAGCTTCAATTCTTCCAAAAACCCTCCGTGACGCTGTCCAAGTGACCTCGAATCTTGGGATTCGTTGGATTTGGATCGACAGTCTTTGTATTCGCCAAGACAATCCAGAGGATAAAGCGACCGAAGTTGCGCAAATGCATAGAATATATGCAAGTTCCTTCATTACACTCTCAGCCAGTAGGGCTAGCAGCTGCAGTCAAGGGTTTCTTCACCAATGCTCTCTGCCTGCTCCAGGGACGACCGGGTATAAATTACCCTTCGCGTCACCATCTGGAAGACTGGGATCCGTAATACTCTCTAGCATTCAGGTGAATTCACCGATTGATTTACGCGGCTGGACTTTCCAAGAGCATCTCCTTGCCCGTCGGGTTCTCCGATTCACCAATTGCGAGCTCCATTGATCTTGTGCGAGTGTTTCGATGCATGAGAATGACACAATTCAAAACTTACCATCATCACTCGTTAGCCTGCTAGACCAGACGTACAAGATGTACAAGGGCATTCGTGCCGAGGACCGAAATTGCAGGAATTGGATGGACATTGTTGAGCACTATACTTATCGCGAGTTATCCGACGAGTCGGATAGGCTTCCAGCGATATCTGGAATAGCCCAGGCATGGACTCAAACATCAAATGATTGCTATCTTGCCGGCCTCTGGAAATCACACCTTCCTTTAGGGCTACTTTGGTCCCATGAGCAACCATTTCGGCAAGACGAATTCCAAGCATATCTTGCACCTTCATGGTCATGGGCTTCTACTGTTGGGTTTGTCAAGTGGTATAATTTTATGCTCACCGAAGTTGATCCTATGCTCAAAGTCGTATCATGCACGACTCAACCTGCTCATTCCCAGGCACCGTACGGCGCTGTACAATCCGGATCATTAATTGTGCAAGGTCTCATACAACAGACTGTATTCAATGAAGCTCCAGAGTTGCCGACATTAGTCAATGAAGATAACAAATATCTTGATCTTGATCTGGCAGATGTTCATCTTGATTTCTGGGACGAGACACTAGCTTCCAAGGTTGAAGGCGGCAGGATATTCAGTCTGCAGATCTGTTGCTTCGACGAAACGACTAACAAGGGGCCATCAGGACTTCTGCTTACTACTAAAGATGGAAAGGAATTTTCTAGGATTGGAATGTTTTTCTTTGAGCCACCGCAAGGATGTGATGTGGAGGAGCTTAATGATTTTGAGGCACTGCTTGAACTGTCAGAAGGCCGGAAGTCTGTTCAGAGATCTGCTTTTCGGGGTAGTGTCCCACAAGGGATCAAGATAATTTAAAGTTAGGCTGTCGTGATGGTCAATCACAAAGATGGCAATGGCATATTGTAAACAACAGAGGAACGAAGATCAAAACCTATTCAAAGCGTCTCAGTAGCAATGAATATGTCACAGTCACATAAGCCTTCATCTTTTTTCTCAGAAAACATTGATTCCAACGCCAGTTTGCAAAGATCGGCTGCTGGACTTCACCATAGACATCGTGCACATCTATTCGATCTCTTTTATTTTTTCGATTCAAGAGTAATACCATCCACTCTGCATTTCGCATGCTTATTCCCCATGAAGCTACTACGATCGGATCGGCGCGCCCTGAGCGAGAACATTCTTCCCATCGCGACCATGACAAGAACAGAAGGAAAAACACCCCATTACGTACCATAACCAAGAGCTACGGGAAAGCAAAGAGGACCATTTGCGTCACTCTTACGAAACATGCCAAATTTGGTCCCTATTTGGTGTTTACTGGTGGGTCCCATTTCCCTTCGCTGGACAGCCTTACCCCACAATGACATCACAGCACCTCACCTCTGATCGCAATTCTACGTAACAATGCAATTTGGACAAGAAGGAACCCATATCCATATTAAACCCTCAGAGTTCCCATTCTTCTTTCCATCATCAGCAAACCCTCTTACAACTCTCTTCTCTAATACACACGTCTATACATTCAACCCACGCACGTACCATCACCACCACCATGCCCCGCAACGGAGACGGATCCTCAGACAACGGACCCATTGAGGGCCACAGCATTATCCACGGCACCTCTGGGAACGTAAGTGCTATCTCCAATGAGTAATCTCGGAAGAAATACTGACAAAAACTCTGTAGGACACCATGGAACACACTAAGAAGGCAGCTCCCATGCCTGAAGTCGAAAAGGGCGATGGTACGAGACCCCCTCTCCACCCCCTCCATCTACCCATATGAGCCAATGGCGAACAAAAAAAATCAGACCCTTATCTCTCCAAGACCACAACAACTAACACGACAATGAAACAGGCCTCGAAGGCATGAGCGCTTCGGGCGGACGCGAGATGCCCAAGAAGGGCATCACAGGCCAGGGCAAAGCGGCTGCAGACTCGAACAAGCCCCCGCCAGTCGACCAGGTCACCAAGTAAAAGACACCAAAGGATCCCTGTTGGTTGCATACAGCGAAGAATGCAAGCCCCCTTCACCGCAACAAAGAGGCAAGCATCATCATGTAACGATGTCGGTCGGTCGGCGGTAGTAATAGTAGTAAAGTAAAGTTAAGTTAGGTTGGGGGGAGTGGCCCATGGCTAGAAAGATCGGTGATACGGCGCGGAGCGGGTTTAGCTCGCATGGGGCTCTCTCTTATCCTAGTCTAGCAGGGTTTGGGCCGGTAATAGTCAAGCGAAGGAGGGGACGGGGGGACCACGGGAGACCTTTCAACACTGGGAGTCATCCGAGTAAAATCGGCTGCGTTTAACAGCTTGTGTTGGCATTGGGCGTATGCGAAAAGGAAGGGTTTTTTCTCTCGTCGCAGAATCGTTTAGACAGAGCTCCATAAAGGAGAAGCAGGGCCTTTTCCTCAATAAATCCAAACGAATCAAACATTCACATGCTGAAGTTGAGGGATCTTCTCGAGTCTCCATTTCCCTTGTCTTCCCCCCGGGCCCCGTCTTTTTTCTTGCCCACTCTGATCCTCTTCTTTGTGGGGCTATCCCCCTTCTGCTTTCCGAGCAAAAGCGGTGTGCACAGCTGATGCGTGGCTACGCTCTCTCATTGTCCCCATTCTCCTCTTTTTCATGCACTCGATGCAAGTACACGCAAGTCCTGAATCTTGCAGTGAAGAGGGGGGCCTGCATTTTGCTTTGCCTTGCTGGCTAGGCTAGCTACACTAACGGACTCTTTTGCTGCAACAAACTGACTCTCGATGCTTTTTGCTAGAAGTCCGGCGGGATGTGTGAAGCGGCTGGGTTTGTGACGCCGGAAACGGTGTGATGTGTATGGTGGGGGTACTTTGTGTGGGTGTGTGGGTTTGTGTGTGTGTGTGTGTGGTTATCAGGAACTTTAGTCTAGGACGGTAAGTAAGCGAACACCGACCGAAGTCCGTTTTTTTGGGCTGGCTGCCCGCCCACATACGGACTTGGGGACATTGTGGTTGAACAAGCAAGCAAAACAAGCAAATCGTGTTCACCTTTTTTGCTCAGCTACCGCACTTCGTCCCATTTACTGTAGTGGGAATCTATACGCGCGCCAAGGTTGCCTTGATAACCGGATAAGACGGTACAGGTACACACTCCCGTATGGCTGAAAACTCTATCCTAATATTCCTTTTTTTCCACATCCGTTCCACATGTGCATGCCACCTTGTTATCGTGGCAACAGGCTCAAAAGCTTAGTGCCATCGAAAAGCAGAATTGGAGGCATTGCGATCTTCTCGCGGTTCGAGTAGCACTCGCGGACTCGGCGTAACTGGATGACGTGATCGCGATATCATTCGCGGGGCCAGACCGACATTCTGGTTCCTTGGGAGTGGAGGGTGAGCGGGGCGGACAAAAACGGGCAAGTGTTGGTGTATGTACTACTACATACTACTACTGCTGCTGCTTGAGCTGGCAGAAGATGTGCAGGAAGTGGGCTGGTAAGAAAGGGGAAACGTCGGCGTCGAGAGGTGCATGTGCAGGATACAGCGAGATGAGACGAGAGAGAGGCCGTCTTGGTCTGGGCCCTTGCAGGTCAGAGGCAAGAAGCGCAGAGATCGTCCATGTGGAGAGTCTTGGGCCAGCATTAGCGTATGCAGAATGAGGGACGAGTGTGGAGAAGGTCACGTTGGGTGACACATTAGACTGACACATCAGGGGGGGATGGAGTTTGGGTCGGCTGATAAGATGCGAGTAAAGCGAAGGCGACAGACGGCAGGCAGGAGACAGGAGACAGTAAGACATCACAAGCAATCAAGGAAGATGATCATGTTTGAACAATAGACATTGGTAAAATTGGCTAGATAGAGGCACCAGCCCTTGGTGTGACTTGTCCGCCATTGTGAACCCATCGAGGAAGTGATATCCACGAAGGAAATACCAAAAAGTCTTTCAAAGAAACTGTTACTACAACCCAGTTACGCGCCACAAGCTACGGACCCCGTCCTACGCCATGTGAAACCACGCCCCAAATTTTGCCTTTCCAGTACAGACCTTTCTATCCTCCCTGTTTGTACACCATTACGCCGACCCGTTTGTATAGAGGTAGGAGATGTCATCAGTCGTGATCCACGGCAACCATCCGCCGACCCAGCTTGCCCGCTCGCGCTCTTAGTGGGTCGCATGATGGCATCGCTGCTAAAGTGATCCCGCTGCGAGGGCCTCGTCGCTAACCGAAGTTGCGCCAGAGGCACTCTGCAAGTCATGGAACTTTGCATCAAAGCCGTCAAGAAAGCCATAAGAGCTTGAGGTAGAGCTGTGGTCGAAGAGGGTTGACCCAAAGACATCGACTGAAGAAGAATCCACCATGCTAAAAGCGGGTTCCATTGGTGCGCTGGTGGTTGGGCTGCACTTTGGGAACTGGTCGAAGTCGAAGAAGTTTTCCATGACGACAGGCTTCTCATCGACGGGTGCGAAAGGTTGAATAGAGAAAGGTAGGTCCAGATCGTCCGAAGCGAGGCTGCCGAATTCGACTGACACTGCAGGTCGCACAATACCGCGGCAGAGTATTGTGTCGAGTCGAATTCAGGCGAGGCCTCGAAGCTTGACGGGGGAGTCTCGGGTTGGCATGATGAGTCACGGGGTGAGTCCATCGAGTCCATGGATACGGGGCTGGGGAAGGATGTTGGGATCTGCGCGGGGCAGATGGTGCTGAACGAGTCGTGTGTTGTTGAGAGGTCGAAGGGAGTTGATGTTGGTGCTTCGCCGGGATACTTTGATCGGTAGTAGCGGAGCTCGGCCTCCATCTGGGCCATCTTGTCCTTGTAGGCCCTCATGTTGGCCTCGAGCTCGTCCTTTTCGTTTTGGAGTACCTCGTACTCTTGTCGCTTTCGCTCACGTGAGTTGTGTGCGGCGAGACGATTCCGCTTTACACGCTCGATGCGTCGCTGCTCCTTCTCATCCTCGGTCTTTGCGCGCTTACGGGGCGGCAGGCTGGTCTTTGGCTCAGGCAGGACCTGGCCCCATGACTTTCGCTTCTTGACTGGCTTTGAGGCACTGCTCTCTGGGGCCGGTGTCGATGAGGGTTCCGATGACTTGGAGGCGGAGCGTTGTGGTGAGGGCGAGTGGTCACAGTTCTCAATCATTTCCATCTTGATGGTTGTGGGCATCATGGTGTCTGATGCCTGTTGTTGCTGGTGTGGTGATGTGGCTGATGGAGGTGGGGCGAGGGGTGTTGATGTGATGGTGGATGTGTTCATAGTGTGGGAAAAGAGAGAAGAGTCGAAGGTGTGCTCGGCCATTGCAGTAGTAGTAGTGGTGGTAGTGAGCGTGTGCGGGGACTTGTGGGCATAGTGGGTGGTTAAGACTAGGACCCAGGCTGTGCATCGAAAAGGACAGAGTGGCATGTCTGCCACCTTTTAATAGGCAGCTGCCAAGCACCCTGAGCGGCCCTGGTACGCTAGTCCGCTTTGGGACCTATGCTGGTACCGTAAGCCCGATGCACACCCCTACGCTAGGAACTCAGCCGCGGGCCGCGACTGGTTTCACCACCACCCTATCACCCTCCCCCCCAAGTCCGTCAGGGGCCTGCGCTGCTGCTGCTGCCCTCGTCCTGCTCCACGACCTACTCCTCCAAGCCCTGGGCCCCTCTTCGCATTCATGGGTCGCTGCCCCTCCGCCAATGCCGCCCTGCAGCGCCGCTGCTCGAGGCGGTATGCGTGCGTATGCACATGTACGGCCTCGCTGACCCAACCCCCAGCGCAGTCGAGGCCGAGTACGAGCCCGATTTAGCTCTTACCGGCCCACCTGTGTGCTGTGTCACCCACTAGACGGCAGTGGCAACGCGAAACAGACCAGAGCTGGCCGTGTCGTAAGAGATGCCGTCAACAAAACCCAGCTTGCCCTCCCTGCCACTCGGCCCTCGATCTTGGGGCCAGCCTTCACAGTCACGCACCCACCTGCATTATCGCCCTTAATATCGTTGCATTTACTTGTACTGTGTAGATAACATGTGCGGTCCGCATAGATGAAGACCCTGGCTGCGTTTCTTCTCGAAGCATCTGTACCCCATATTTACAATCTACTCGGCCGGCTCGCTAGGCAGTCCAACCACCAAGCCTCCTGTCCCCACACTGCTTCGCAATCTATCTCACCTTCCAAAGTGCGGCCTATTGCCGGAAGATTTGCGCTACCCTAGTACGGACCCTTTGCTCCTCCAAGTAGGTACGAGTAGCAGCATGCAATGCACCCCTCGTCCCTACCTACTCTATCGCTGCAGGAGACTGAAGCTGTCACACGAGACCCGTTGCCATCGGTCCCCTCTTGAAGCAAAACGTCCCCTTCTGCCGGAATCTGGGGGGCATGGTGGCTTCCTTGGTGCCTTTTGGCCCATGTGAGACGAGCGGCTCTCCGGCTCCGGTCAGGGCGCTGCCCACCAACCAGCAACCTTCCTAACTAATGTACCCTTGACATGTGCTGCTCATTCAACCGCCGGCACTGTCTCTGAATCCGAAATTGCTGCTGCACTCGCCGTGATCCCATGGTCCTGTCGCCACCACATTTCCCACTGCTTGTGCTCAAATCCCATATATTGTCTATCGGAGGCGTGCACAGCCCTGGCCTTGGCGGCCTATGGGGCGTTTCTTGTCATGAACCGTCGCACTGTGCTCCACCGCTCGACTCGTCACCGTTTCAGGCACCGGAATTCGGACCTATCGCATCTTCAGAAATGGCGCTGCCTCGAGCCTATCCTTCGACATGGCTCCGACGATCGCCCCGAAATTATCCACATGATACCATCGATAAATGGACGAAATAAATCGCAACAATAGTAATAATTCTACCGCCTATTCTGTGCCGCCGTCTATCTAATTATCGAATCGGAAAAAACCATCCCACTGTAATGATGACTGACCTGATCGCCAATGATTACCGCCGAATCCCAACGCTAATAATAAGCAATCGATAATGCCGATGTCCTGATGCGTGGATGCAAATAGAATTTCTCATATTGAATCAACAAAGTCTACAAGATTGTTGCTGCCTACCCAGCCGATATCTCAATAAGTCAGCTATGAGATGTCTCTGTGCGGCACATTCCACTGTTGAGCTATCCAGTCGTAGATGCGCTCTTGTCATGAAAGCGTCAGCACTCACACATGCAACCACTGTCCAGCATCCCAAGAACAACCCGCCCCCGTTATCCCTCTCGCCTAACAAAGCGCTCAACGCACCAGAACCACACACAAACGACGATCCATCGGCACTCCTCCTTGAAACGGAGGATCTCTTACAGGTATCGCGAAACCCCCAACAGCAAACAGTTCTGTTGTAGATCCAAAAGTCTAAACCCTTTCACCCTGGTCACTTGCTCCGAGCCCAGTTGAGCCCGGACTGGTGTGAGATTACTGCGGACCCCTACTTCCTTGTCCTTGCTTAGACCATGCGTTCTCACTTGTGTTTAATGCAAAACAGCGCGAAAGAGAAAAAGGGCGGTATAGTCAGCTCTTATTAGCGTAAGCATGGCTATCGCGTTACTTACTTTCATGCCATAGTCAGACTTTTTTATATGCAACGAGGCAGTCATAAACTTTGTCTAACAGCCATAGAGTTCTTTTTTTGTCTTTCTTCAATGCAAAAATGACGATTGTTTTCGCAAACGGCGGGAAGAAAAATATCATGCCACTGTTATTACACAATGTGCATTTTGTCACCTGCGGAGATTCTTTGTTGAGCATGAATCTTTCCGAACCCTACTTGCACATATTTGCGCCGTAAAATGACGAGAAGAAAAGATATGTCCGTAGTAGTGACACGAGTGGGAAAAGAAGTGGCACTGTTCACCCGCCGGTTACGCACTCAGAATAAGCAGTCCATATGGCTCATGCCGTTCATCATCCCGTATTCCGTTCATTTTCTGACCCCATTTTCCTACCTATATATACGCAACCGATCATAATCTCACTTTTCTCGTCCCGTTGCTATCTGCCTTCCTATATACTCTGTATTTAGGGAAAATGGCGCTACAGCTTTAGTATACATTTAAGAGCCGAGCGTGATTGGTCCAGCGTGATTCTTTTCTATCTATGCTAGGATGTATATATGTGCGTAGTAGTATTAGATAGATATTAATTAAATCTTTAATAGCGCACATATTAACAAATTCACTGCTGTCTATTTTTGTGCGATATTCCCAATTATGCTCATGAGCGGAATCGCGGAGTGCAATGTACATGAACAAACCACATCTTCTTTCTTCTTATTCCCTTCAACAATACGCCGCTAAACAGAAGAACACCAACGAAGCCCTCAAGTTCACGCAGTGCGAACTTATTTATGCTATACTAACAATATCTAACTTCATTACTCCGGACAAAACTACATCTGATGACCGACTAGGATGATCGAGTTTATCAATAGTATTGGAGACTGGGTAACAGAGACATATGATGGAGTTCGTTTTCTTTCCAATATGCATCGGTGCAAGATTAACTATCTTTCAACATGTTCTAATCATTGGAACAACTACAAATGTAAATATCAAAAACGCACTCCCTTCAGACTCTTTTTTTCCACAAGACTCGATAGCAACAAAAGAAGGCCCTTTCTTATCCAGTGGTATTGCGCAACCGGATTAGCAGCAAACTGTTCTGAATGATCCAGTACCACCGTGTACACATACTCTGAGGAATGTCCGGACCCTCGAAACACCGAAACACCGCAATCGCCATTATCGGACGTCTCCAAACGCAACATGAGATACTTTCAGCGTTGCACCGGAAGATACGACATCACGCAACTAGATAATAAGTTCAATCGGCATTAATCCTTTCCTGTGAATGCATATAGTATTCACCCCACTTATAGATAAAAGTGAGCCTACTACAGTAGTTTTACGCAGCACAAAGTGCCACATTGGTATATTCCACTCCCGAATTTCGCCATTTGAGAGACCCCCAAAAGATAAGGGTCTGTTTAAGAAAAAAAAGAAACACAGCGCAACATCAACTTCCCAATCAATACTTGTCCAAAGGGGCCCGCGCCCCCTAAACCGGGACACCTACAAATCCAATCTTCGGCTTCACCCTCGCACCGTCAGTACTCTCACCACCCCATTGACTCCGCCACTCCTGCTCCTCACACTTGATTTGCGAGAAAGCCTCGAGCTCCTCTGGCTTCATGTGCTTTTCGTCTTCAGCATCTAGCTTGGGCAGGCCGTTGGTGCCAACGTCGATGAAGTCGCCGTCAGGACCTGGGATGCCGAGGCCGGCAAAAGGAGGCTGTTGGAAGACGGTGTCGACGACGAGGTATTTTCTACGGACAAGAGGGGGTACGTCGGTGGCTTCGGGGGCAACTTCTTCCCAGCGTGCGTGGGTTGGTTGCGTGACTTTGGGGTAGCACATCAGGTTTGTGTGTGGATCGTAGATCCCTGAGAGGTTTGCTTTGCGGAGCTTGGAGAGGCTCGAGTTGAATCGACTGTATCGTGTTAGTCTCCGGGTTGCGGGATGGTTGATTGCGGGAATTATTGTCTGCTTACCTAGCTGCTGAGCCATGCTCGAATTGCCAGTTGGCGGATGTTATGTTAACCTTTCGCTTTCCAGGCGCAGGCTTTCCGTTTGCTGTGGGCACACTGGGCACGCCTGTGTGATAAACACTACTAGCGCCGTGCCAGGCAACGTATTGGTTTTTGTTGTATGGTTCGCCTGGGAGCGGTAGTCGGTCATTGGGGTCTGCAAGCTCACCCTCGACTGCGCCGTTCTCCCTCGCTGCCGTGACGTAGTAGTCGTCAATGATCCTCTTGCCACCGATAATGATACGCGCGCCGAATTCTCGGAAGACGGAGCGCGCAGTGACAACACCGATAGCACGACCCTTGTACGAGTGAGGAATAATCTCACGGTCAATGAGATCCCTCTTCTCAGTGTCGTCTATGATGATCTTGTGAAGTTTCATGTGCTTTGTGAAGAACAAATAACTGTCCCTGAAACCACAGCATCGAGCAGGTTCGGTCGACAACATGTACTGCCTGTCTCCTCTGCCTCTGATAGTGAAGATGCGCACACGATAGTCCCGTCCGCCCATGAGATTGCCTAGTTTGTCAACCTTCTTCTCGCCCTCTTCATCTTCAGGTAGATCGACCTCGTCGTTGACAACATCCATCATGGTTCCCTCTTTGTCGATGGGGACGCGGGTAGTATGTGACTGCCCTCCCTTTGGCGGTCGTCCTCGACCTCCGCCAGACGGTCGCCCACGCTTACGCTTGATAGGCGTACCACCTTCGGAGTTGTCTGGCTCTCCGGCATTCCAGTCCGGCGGCCTGTTCTTAGGAGGTCGGCCAAGTCGCTTCTTACGCGGGAAAGGCTGGATGATTGCAGGCGATGGTGAACGTTCAGAAGGCGCGGCTTCCTCGTCGCTTGCTTGTGCTGCTGATGCAGCTTCCTCCTCTTCCTCTTCCTCTTTAGGGGACTCGGCGCGCGACTCTGGGGGATCTATCATGTCTTCATCGCTATCTTGCTGCGGTGTTGCGCTGCGAACAGGCGTGCTGCGACGCGCTGCAGCTCGAGAAGGGCGTCCGCGTGCCATTGTGTCGCAACTGTAGTATTTGTGTGGCGCTATGCAGGCTACAGTTGTGGAGCCAAATCCAGTGCGACTTGGATGGTGATGGTGGCTATGGCATCGAGTGGAGGGCGATTGCGCTGCTCGGTGGTTGAGCGCTGTAGTGCCGTGGACCGCGACGTGAAGGAGCTAGACAGGGATCATATGCACAGTCCGCGCGCATCACGTGCCTATCCAGTCTTCCATATCGAGTAGTCAGGATGGCTCTCCTTCCAGAGGCTCTTGCTTCCGACTCACAATTACTTGCCGTTTCCACTATTCCCAAAATAACATCTTGTTGGTACGGCAATTGTTAGTCGCTGCCCGGTGAGCATTACGTCTCAAAAATGCTCATTACAACTTCCTGTCCAATGCCGTTCTACAAGATGGTCTGTTGGTAATAGGCTGATTGATTTTCTTATCAGAAAGCCTACCAATGAAGCTTTTGATTCAAATACACAAGGGAACATACTCTTTCACTATTGGGACTGATCTGGAAATCATGACCCGGACTCACATACAACGGTCAAGCAGGACCGACCATGACTGTTTACAGGCATGGTTCAGAGTTCAAGAGCTACATGAGTGACTACTACTATCTCAGACCATCTCATAGTGCTCTACACCGCACTCAACCAACATTTTGATACGACGCATCAAGTCTCTGGTGTCAGTAGAGCACCCCAGCCATTCATCATGCACTTCGATCTCCTCAGCCTCAAAGCCAAGAAGAGCATTTCCCAGCTCCTATGCAGGAAGAACGATACAGAGTCGGTGTTTCATCCTTCTTATTACACCGAATATGCTAATAATTCCAAGGAATAACTTTGCTGGCATCGATCGTAACTTGATCGAGAGGGGCACAACTCCAGTTCCTTCACCAGACAAAGCCTCCGTCCGGCCAACTGCAAACGATTCGCCGTCGAGCAACGAGAGTCCCTCAAGGCGAAAGGGTCTTGTAGGGTCGTTGAAAGAGAACAAGTTGCGAAGCATCAACTCTTTACGCAGTCTGCGATCACCAACCAAGGCGAAGCAGCCCGATGGAGATGCTTCGCCTTGCACTGATGTAAGCGCCATCCTACCACCACTTCGAGAATTTTACTAATTACATACTCACCAGAGTCCTCACACTCCAATACCCCGCCCAAGGTCGTCTCTTCTGCTCACCTTCCAAGAGTCACCGGCTGATGAACCCTTATTTGACCTAAGCCGCACAGACTCGACCAGTTTTGGTCATGACTTTTGTTATTCTTCGCCACTGCCTATCCCTTCATCAGAGAACCAGAATCCGCAATCGTTTGCCTCACCCTCTGTCTTACCTGATGGCACTATCCCCTCTTCACCAGCTCCACTCCGGAAGCTCCTGGACCTAGACCAGAACCTGAATGAAGATTTCCCATCCCCAATGTTCGGCCCGGCATTCGACCTAGACTTAGCTTGTGTGGACTTATTGGTTCCCCTTCAAGATGATATGCAGGAGCCTCATCAGATCCAAGGCACTTCACGAGAAATGACTGGAATCGTCCAAGCCGCTGTAGAACACCGCCATGTTCCAACCAAGAGTCCTGAAAGAGAACAACCCAACACTGACGGCATCACGGAATTGGCCAATGATCACAGGTTCATACAAGAGGATTCCAACGTTCACAAACTGACGGAAAAGTTTGATCAGCACTGCATTAACACGAATGAAGGCATGGCAGACCCCTCTGACAATGTGTTGATGATCATCGGCAAGGAATACATGTTGAGAGTCTTCCACAACGGAGATCTCAAACGCCGCATCGGTATAACGGCATATGACGGCCAGGGTTATGCCTCTAGTAACGATTCGGAGATGATTCTTGGCCGCCGTGAGGAAGACTTTGCTGCCGCGGAAAGGATACTACCTGAACTCGGCAGATTCGTTGTGTTGAATAGGGATATGCTTGGAAACACGAGCAGGGAACTGATGCTCGATGAGGCCCTTGCAGAAGGCGTACTTCCCGAATGGTTGGATCTCGACCTGGACATGGGGAGTTCCGAGCGATTGCATAGCCGTATCAGCAACGCTGGCAAGCGACAGAACCGCGAAAGCACATGGGGACAGCATGCCGGGCTCTACGACGGAACCGGCTACGGAACGGGATCCAGCTCGCGTTCTTCGACGGCGGCGGAGACTGGGATGGATGATGCTTGCCATTATGTTGAGAAAGGCAATCCTGAGGACGACGTTGCCGATATACTCCCTGGTGTTTATGAGAAGACCTATCCATTTCGCTCGACACCCGACTCGTCTTGCTAGGTTGACCCCGCCGGCATGGGAAAGAGCATTGCTGGATGAACCGGATACACTTTCGGGTCCGAAAGCATGATGTCGTCTTTCCCGCCACAGTACTCAACATACTCGGTCACCGAGTTATCACTAGGCAACGGAATTAGGATAAAAGGGAGCATGATGAAAAAAAAGCATTCGACATCATCAATAGCATGCAGATATTCGGGTCACGCACCTGAGACGTTCCACAGTTATATTAGATAGTATCAATGCAGCCATTACCAAAGCACGATCTGATGCATCACATGTTGGGCCCATGGCACCCTACAGCAACGGGCATGCGGGGGGCGTTTTGGGTTTCCAAACTCTCTAGTGATGGCACCACCGGCTTTACAAGCTCTTACACCAACAGCAGCACAAAAGTAAAGCAGCGAGCTTTTCGCACGCAGGCAGCCGAGTCGATCATCCGAGCCTTGCAGCGGATAGTACGACAAGGCGTGCACCAAAGCAGTAAAGGCGTAGCTCCAGAATGCGACCTTTACCGTTGTAATCAGGCCATGTCGGCTCATGACCACTTATACCCGAGTTTGAATGGATAGAAGTGGGCTTTTGCTAACCCCTTGCACCACTCACGACAAAGAGCAACGCATAGCCGCGGTCCCCTCTTTTTCCACATTGCCTCGTACGATAATATGTGCTGTGTCGCTCCCTTCTACCACTGAGGGCAGACGGAAGGGGGAAACAGGAGTGCATGTCTTCCGTTTAGCATAGTAGCTAATGAAGCGTGCGTGTATGGGTGTAAGTGGTCAGACTTGCGCACCGGCGCCGAAAACCCACCACTGGGGCGCTCTTTTAAAGCTCTCCTGTTAGCAAGTGCATATAGTATGCGGTTCCTAGTCAGCGAATAAAAGAGAGATTCGGCCCTGTTATTCTTTACTGGTTGCTCTGCCCATTTGACCATTTTCTTTGCTTTGCTACGTACCCCTCATTTAAACTGCCGATACCCCACGCGGAGAAGGAGCCAGATTAGTAGCCATGGCTGTCAGCGAGCAGCCTCCTATCTCCGACAACACCGACACCGTTATACTGGGCTGCGGCATCATAGGCCTGTGTACTGCCTACTATCTGACCGAGGCCGGTAAAAACAATCCACAAAATGTGCACATTGTCGATTCGAGTGCCGAGTTATTCCATTGCGCATCAGGTCTCGCGGCGGGGTTCTTGAGCGCTGATTGTATGTACCTGCGGCGGTGTGCTTGCATCTTAGAAGTCTCCAGCACGCCCACAATTTCTCAATCCACCTCGAGTTCATGTATCTAATTGATAATTTCCCCATTCTAGGGTTCGCACCATCCGTATCCTCTCTCGGTACTCTATCTTTCAAACTCCACTCCGACCTCGCCCAAACGCACGGCGGCCGCAAAGCATGGGGCTATTCCTCCTCAACCGGCGTTTCCCTTTCACAAGACAGCGAATCAGCAATTGCCGGTAGTGGCGAAGATTGGCTGGAGAATGGAACAAGCAGAGCACAAGCAGCAGGTCATAACAAACCGCGCGAAGGGCAGATTACTCGCCCAGGATGGCTGCGACGCACACAAGAAGGGACCATGGAAGTCATTAGTCGAGATGGCACAACAGCGCAGATAGACCCGTTGAGATTCTGCCAGTGGGTGCTGAAGGAGGTCAAGGCAAGAGGCGTAACCATACATCAACCTGCGCGAGCAACGGGTGTGATTCAAGACTCCGAGGGCGTACTAAGTGGTGTACGAATACAACAAGGCGACGACGCCGACTCCCAAATCGAGCGTAAGACTCTCTCCACACAAACGCGCACCTACCAATTGCACACATACTAACTATCTAAAAACAGTACCATGCTCCCGCCTCGTAATCGCCTCCGGCGCCTGGTCCCCCCGCGTCTTCACCACCCTCTTCCCCACCTCCAAATCCCGCATCCCCATCTCCCCGCTAGCAGGCCACTCCCTGCTGGTGCGGAACCCTCATTTCAACCCCACAGACGCCGACACCGAGGCCTGCCACGCCATCTTTGCGACCGACACACTGGGTTTCTCGCCAGAATGGTTTGCGCGGCTCGGCGGCGAGTTGTACCTGGGGGGTCTGAATAGCACGACTGTGCCGCTGCCGGATGTCGCGACGGACGTAAAGCCGAATGAGAAGGCTGTTGAGCAGTTGAGGCAGTGTGCGCAGGTTATGATAGTTGCGGCACCGGAGAAGGAGATTGAGGTTTTGAGGGAAGGTTTGGTATGTTTCGATTCCTTTTATTTCACCCAACTCCCTTGCTCGTGCGATACTAATACTTCTGCTCCGTATAGTGTTTCCGTCCCGTTACATCTAGCGGTCGACCGATTGTTGCGCGGATACCAGACGAGAAATTGGGCGGCCTCAAGACGAAAGAAGAGGCCAAGGGTGGTGTTTTTATCGCTGCGGGCCATGGTGCTTGGGGTATTTCACATGCGCCAGGTACGGGGTTGGTGCTTTCGGAGTTGATGCTTGGACAACCAACTAGTGCGAAGGTGGAGGCGTTGCAGTTTCCATTGTAAAATTGTCACTGTGTAAAACTCTGTAAGGTTGGGCATTGGAGTGTTCATGGGAAAAGAAATAGAGTACTACGATATATGAATGGATGTATACAAGATTTTCTTTACATCTTTAAAAACATGCTCACGGTTATGTGGTTGGGAGCGGCCAAGTAGTAGTTATGGATTAATCAGAATATGTGAGCCTGTGATAGGGGTATTTTGCAACTAGATAATTCGAGCACTTTAAAGAAAACGTGACAGTTGGATAGAATCTCGCTATGTATCATGAAATGTGTGAAATGTTGAAGATAGTAAAACAGCATACATCTTCAATGAATTACTGCCGTCACATACTACGAAAAAATGTGCCTTGGCAATGTCATTCTAGCACCTGATTAAATTTCTTTGCACAAGATGTATAGTATGGTGGGCCAGCGAATGTTGAGGATTTGAACATTTGAAAATTCAAAGCGTGTGGAATAGGCTCTAAAATATTTAGCAGACCTTGAGTGGAAAGAAAACTGTCTGGTTGCAAAGCCCTCTGATATCAAGGTACATTGCATAGTCATTACCGCTATCAGACTTTATTTTGGAGCGAGAAAAGTGTATAGATTGCATGATAGGAGGGCGTATACGGCGTGTGCTTGGGACGACATTGGCAACGAGTGGTGTATATATTGGGATCGTACGAACGATTTGTTAGGATGGGGCATCTGGGACTAATGTAGAAACCGGGTACATGATGTTTCAGAGTGATGAATAGAATATGCTAGAGAAAATTGGAGGTCAAAGGATGAAGACATGGTATTGGGTATAATTTAAATATATGGAACGAGAAAAAAAAGAGACGCTGAAAGTAACTATGATACATTTCACATAACTGAAGAGACAAAAACACCCTCAGTTTACCCATGCTCCTGGCATCTTTTGGCCATTTCGTGCGCGTTGTTTGCGAGCTTTGGCAGCCCTGCGGCGTTCGTAGCGGAGGCACCACTTGCTTTTCCGTTCATTCCATTCAGAAATAAACAGGCCCCATTCGCGCTCGCAAAACGGCCATTCCATGGAGCGGGGACCATCATCGTCTCCATCTTCGATAGTCAAGGACTGATACTCCGAGATGAGCAGATAACCGCATGCTTCTTCGTCCAATGCCCACTCGAAGCCAAGCTCCCATTCGCCTGTTTCAAGAGTTTGAAATACAACTCTTTTATCAAAAGGCCAGGCTCTGAGCAAGGCTTCCGGGCCAAGATTTGCAATCTGATTACTCACAAACTGCTCCAAGTTGACACCTGAATTTGCTAGTCATTCGAGAAAAATGCCCCCTGCCACGAAAGAAGCATGGCTACTCGAACAGCGCCGGAAGAGATGTTCGAGCAGAGAAACCCTTCCTAGCTGTAAATAATCAACCATATCTGCTTTTATATCAAAATCACCATAATTGGGTAAGATAATTCTTGAGCGAAACCATTTCCCCCCTATCATTGAACAAATCGCTTCAAGGACCATAAGTTGTGTTTTAAAGGCATCTGCGCCGAGGGCAATACTTGCACCTTGCTGATACAGCCACTGAAGAACCTCGGGTCTTATACTGGGAAAACGTAGCAGCCAACGATAACGATAGAGATCGACCGATAACTCCGTGTCTTCAAGTATATAGCGACAAATGGTGATTTTGTCATGGCTCAAAAAAGAATCACTCGTGCATAGGACATTGACCAAAGGAGAATTCCCCTCAAAATCCTGGCTTTGTTTTAGGCCAAGATTTAGAAGTAAGACATAGATATCTGCCCTGGCAAACTGTGCAGCAATCTAGGCACTGTATCAACAATATTTTCAAAAAGTGAACATGAAGGGCCTTACATGAAGCAATGATTGCCCATCGCGATTGCGCGAGAATGGGTGTACCACCCCACGACGAAGCAAGCCTTGAAACTCTTGGATTCCACCATTGTTCATGGTATCATAGAGTTCGTTGGGAAAGCCGTGAACCAGCGGAAACGTGTTGAGGCTCGGCAAAACCACACCGAATGACCGGCGCTGGATCCACGTCAGTCCGTAGCCGAGTACGCTCCAGAGAAAAGTTGTCTCGTAGTCTTCAGAAACGATGGAGTCGTGGTCATATTCATAGCTTGATGTCCTTTGATCCAAGTTTTCTGGTACGCGTCGAACGATTTTCCGCCGATGTACGCCTAGTCTTCCGAGTAACCAATGAACTGGTATTACTGATGATGAAACACGCGTAGTTCTCGCAGTCGACAACGAGGTCATATCCTCTTTAGGGGATACAATCGCGGATTCGCTGTCCGGGATGGAGATTTCCATATGGGTTGGACGAGTGGCTTCGCTGTTGTTTTGGTTTTTGAGTAATGCAGGGCCAAGTTGCATCCTAACATGAACAACTACTCAGCACAGCCTTAACAATGATTGACCTTGGTGGAAACTTACAAGATGGCTCCGCAGTTCGCACCGAGGCTAGCATGGAGAAATACGGTTTCTCTCTCGATTCGTGTTTCGAAATCTTTAACATCCTTTGCCTTGAGGCTGAACCTCAATCCGGTTTTGAGTTTTTCCATACGGGTACCACCTTTCGATGTTGCGGGCGCATATTTATCGATGATCGTATGAAGCGGCTCAAGTGTCTTCTCACAGCTCTCGAGACATTTGAAGATTGTCATTGAGGGTATCGGAAAGTGTTCTGCCTGCAACGAGGTCTGCCGTTTCATCAAGTTGTGAACATCTTTCAGCAAGGCCTCAAGACGCTCCAGTAGGTCCACCAAACGCTCCAGCTCTTGTTGTGCATCTTTTACTTTGCGAACGAAGGTCTTGATGGTATCGATGGAATCAATTAGCTGTATCGATAGGGAGACAACAGCCATGCCACTAGCAACACCAGAAAGAGCCTCCATGGTAAACGATATCGATTAGCTCAGCTAACAAGATAGAAAGACAGCGGGAAGAGTCAGATGAGAACAACACATTGTCGAGGGCTCAGCTACTGAAAACATGGAGCCCAGCAATTCAGCCTCGCGCCAGCCTACAGCTACGTCCACGCTTCGTCTGTGCGTGTCACAAAGTCCTCCAGCCAGGTTGTACACCACACAGCATAATCATTACCAATCAAAAGTGGAAAGATTCTTGACATTCCAACAACCAAACGAACGCTCCAAGGTGGGAACCGAAAATTGAACAGTTGAAGCAGGAAAGAAGAAAAGCCGAGGAAGTAAGAACGACCACCTCACCTCACCTCACTTAGACCCTTATCAACAAATCAAACCCCCCCGAAGCGAGCCTCAGCCTTGGTCATCAAGGGGAAAGAGCAACACCCACCCTCCCGCTCTTTCCACACACACACACACACACACACACAGGCAAAGACTAGGCAAATCACACAAAGCACAACGTCAAGACATGAAGCACACGTGCATTTCCCCAATCCATACACAACACACATTGTAGTATCTACAAGCCATACAGTTTCTCGATTTCTCTCATCATGAGCAATAAAAACCACCCCTAATACTACTACTACTACTTAAAATCCGCACTGGCATGCAATAATCCTCATATGTCCATCAAACTACACCAAGCCAAAGTTCCCCCCCTCTCCCCTTCCCAGAAAAAAACGCCAATCAAATGCTTGTTAAGAAAGAGAACGAATTCCCAACTCACTTACTCACGTACACATTACACGTACACGAGAACAAGCATTGAGTTTTCTTTTTCCCTTCAAACAAGAAAAAAGAAAAGAAAAGGAAAAAGGGTTCAATGATTGTTTTTTCTTGGTAAATTTTTTTGGTAGGGCAAAGTCATATACAAATTTTATACTTCCGTTTGCCCCCCCGCTGAAAAGGGTTTTAAACGCGCTACCCCCAACCCCACCCTCCGTTCATACCCATCTTTTCACACGCTTCTCTCAATAATTCTCTCTCTCTCTCGTCCCCTTTGGAATGCGATTTGCAAAATTACAGAAGACGCGAAAAAAAGAAGAGATCAAATAATCCCCTTTTTGTTGTTCTTGTTGCTCCTATATGAAGAAGGCGGCAGCAGCAGCAGCAGCGACGGCAGCCCCGACCAGGCTAGCACCTGGGGTCTATATATATATAAACATACATAAAATAAAAAAATGGTTTCATTTCAAACATGGACACGGCAAGCTCCGGTCCTCCTGAAAGGGGGTAATCATTGAAGAAGCGAAAATAAAATACCAACACGTTATAAAAAAAACACGAACACCAAAGATGATGGATGATGATGATGATGATAAAAGGGTTTGTCGTCATGAGTGGGCAAGAAAAAGCAGCCACAATGCCTATACACAGGAGAAGGTTGAATGGCTAGCAATGCTTCGCAAGGAGACTGGTAAGCAAGGGTCCTCAAGTTGAAGAGAGAGAGAGAGGCAGAAGAGGGGGCACAGGGGGAAAGATTGTTGGGGTCCCGGTTTCTCGATTCGAATGGTGGAGACACCACACTCGTCATCGACGCCTGCTAAGGGATGCGCATCATGGCTTGACGTTGAGGGGCAGCAGACAGAAGCGCAATGGCGATGGCGACGAGAGTAGTCAAGAGTCACAGGATGCTGCATGAATTGCCTGAGGACCTGGAAAAAAAGGTAACACGTTAGCCGCTTTGCAAAGAATTTAAAAAGACGCCCCACGAAAAGTGTTGGTGTTGTAATGAAGAGCAAGGACTTGGTGAATCTACTAGGCTCGGACGGACTCACGCATATCTGTCGCGTCATGGTGACGAGGACAACGGAGATAATGCTTGTCTCGGCACAACAGGCTCTCGGCATCAGCTGCACCAAAACGGGGCCATAAAAACGTTGCGACGCACGTCGCAGAGGACGGCATGCGAGAAGTCCGGAGTCCGGGAGACCAGGATTCAGGGAATTTGTGCATGGGCAATGCAGGCCAGGTAAAAGAGAGTTAGACAAACTTACCAGCGCTGCCCGCGGATCCTACCAATCCATGAGTACACAATCTTGAGGCGCTCGCGGACTCGTTCCGTTTGCAGCAAAATGTACTTTTCCTCTTCCACGATAGGTACGACGGAAGCAAACCAATATGGAAAAATGGCAGGGTCCTCTGGTGGTTCGCCATATACCTGGATGATGCGCTCGCGGAGCCAAGGTGCGCTGGCTTCCCTCATCTCTCGAACAAAGGCGGTGCAGCTGTCGAGCAGTTGTTGTGTGGATAAGGTTTCAATGGCAACCTCGGTGGGGAGCTGGGTCTGCGGGTGATCGCGGAAGAAGGCCTCAGCATAGTCACGTGCCATGGTGGTCTCGCGCTGCTCTAGTATTGCTTCCTCCGCAAGAGAAACATCCTCAACACGTTCGATGCGGCTGACGTGATAACCATCAAGCATGCCGTGCGCTCTCACCTTGAATCGGCCTACGCCGCGTGTTTCGATGAAGCTACGCCCATCGCGCAAAAGCTCGTAGTTGACAATTTCCAGTAGCGTGCCATATTCCAGAAAGGGAACCGAACCCAGATCGCCTTGTGGAGCGCGTGTGCGGTTGTACATGACCATACCAAACTGCCTATTGCCTTCAATGACACGGCGCATCATAAGTCGGTAGCGGGGCTCAAAGACGTGGAGAAAGGTGGGCATGGATGGAAGCGACAACGTGCAGATGAACAGTGGAACGTTTAGCACGTTATCGCCGGCCTGCTCTTCAGCCTTGAGAGCATCTGCACGAGCACCTACCAAGTCTGGGCAAAGTCCATTCAACAAAGAGTTGAGTATGACGTTGCTCGACTGGTTCTGTAACGAGGCAGGGACATGCAGGCCTCTTCGACAAAACGGGCAAATGTTGGAGTGATCCATGACGCGGGCAAGACAACGGCGACAAAATGTATGACCGCACGACGTTGTTGTAGGATCTAGCATCAGGTTGTAACAGACGAGGCAGTCTAGCTCCTTGTGTATTACTTCCCTTAGGCGTTCCAATAGCATCAGGTCGAGGTGCTCGTAATCGTCCCCACTTGCCGATAGTGACTGGTAGCGGATCTCGGAAGTGTACCGGAGGTTGCCCAAGTCAGCCATGGTAAATGCAGACGCAAGATGCCCGCCGTGCAGTTCCTGCTGGTGGTCTTGGCGTGCAGACGTCTCCTTTTCTTTCTCGTCCATGGACGCATCATCTTCAGGCTGGAGCAATTCAACGAGAAGCGTCGGGGTGTTTTCCGTGGTTGCGGTATGCTTGGTTATTTCCATCTTGATTAGGTCCATCAATTTGGCCAGGGTCACGTCGACAGAACACTCCGCCGAGGCGTGTTCGGCCCCGCAACCCAGCAATGGACATGTAATGCCCATGAGACGATCTGGTGTATTGGGATATGATATGTTGGTGCGAGGTTGTGGAGGCGGGAGGCAGCCGCGGCAGACGGTGTGACCGCAGGGCAGGGTGACCGGGGTGCTCAGAGGCTTGGAGCATCGTGGACATTGGATCAGACGAACGAGTTGGCGGGCATCGCGGTGGGCGTCCAGGGCTACGGTGTCGGAAGCCTCTGTGGAGCGGGCATTTTGGCACATGAAGGCCGGTGCAGAGAGTTGAGGCTCGAAGGAGTGCTCGACGCTATCAAGGATGGAGCACCCTTTTGTCCGTTGGCGATTCATGTAGATGCGCTGTGTTGTGTAATGGCACCGACAGCCATGTACAGTGGAAAAGCCCTTGTAGTGGGTGGGGAGCGGGCCGGGGGGGGTGGGGTGATTGGTAGCGGGCGTGTGCAGCGAGCGAAGTTGGCAGCAAGGCGGGCGTCTCGAGGATAGTAAAATGCTCAAGATAAGCAGCGCGCGTGATGGTGCTGAGCCAGATGACGACTGCGGCGGCAGCGGCAGCGGGGGGTGGCAGTGGTGTTTGTGTTGGTGGTGGTGGTGGTGGTGGAGGAGTCGGGGGGGAATAAAGAGCCAATCTTGAAATGGTAGACTGCAGCGGTCAAGTCTTTACTGTTATAATACAAGCACAATTGGGGCTGCGTGGCGAGGGGGGGGGAAGAAAGGGCGCGAGTGTGAGTCGCGACGCAGAGAGGGATCGTGAGAGAGTGGTAAGTAAGGCGGGCAAAGGGAAGAGCAGAGGTCCATGTTCAAATGGGCTCAAGTTGCACTGGTCATCCATGCTCGACGGATAGTTTGCAAAAAGATCGGCGATGTTGCTCTCACGCCGGGCTCGTATCAGGTCGAGGAAGGCTGGCGGCCGATTTCTGTGTCAGCTCTGGGGTTCTCGGATCGAGACAGAAGGCCGTCATCGGGCGCAGGGCTAGGCCAATCCGGGGCCCGCTTGGTATAAAAATGGCACGGTCCAGCTGCAGAATGCATCGAACGAAGACGACTGACGACTTGCTTGTTTTGCACGCCACCTGCACCCCGACTCGTGTACAGTAGAGTAGAGTAGTATCCCGACCGCTGCAAACCACCGTGCCGCGGCCCATTTGCCCTCGCGTGGCCCTGTGTCCGGGAAGATGGGATCATGTTCATGTGTCGGGCTATATGGGCCTGTCGTGTCGTGTTTGTCAGCGCCCACCAAGCATTTCCAAGTCCAGCTCGACATTCAGCACCAGCACTGCCATGTCATGTCCATCTTGGCCGCGCGACGCGCGCTGAAGAGGCGTGGACGTAGGGCTTGCCGGAGCATATTGGATATTGGCCCATCCACTCTTGGGGCCGCATAAGTTTTGTCGACAATGTCTACAAGCAGCGACGACGGGCTTGCAAGCGTCATGGACGTCGAGTCTAGCAGGACCCTGGCCAATGGGGGGCCGCGCCCGCTGGCACTGCCAAACGTCAAGCCCATGCCTTCCATGTGCCATACCAACGCCAAGCACGCGTTTGCAGACGCCCGGCCGCCGCAAAGGACCCTGTACATCCCCCAAAGGGTCCGACAGTCGTGACGACTTGCATTCACCATAAACGGCGGGGCAGCCGCACCCCTCTTACTCCTTACAACCATACTACCCTATCCACTAACCACCACTAACCACCACTCGCGCCAGGTCACGCCCTAACCACCCCGTCCCCTCTCCCGGCTATCCTCCTTGCTCCAGTAGCATGTCCATACACACATGCCGCATACATACATACTACGTCCATTCATACAAACGTCCCATACACACATACACATGTGCTACGTATACATGTCAAACCCCCTCCCACATCACGAGCTCATCTTCTCCCCCGCGCCATGTGCTGCCAGTGGCAAACTGCTTGCATTGATTCATTTTATTACTCTCTCTCTCTTTCTCTCTCAACCTGACTGTGCCTGACTATAGCGCGCCGCCCCCTCCCCCTTTGCCCCTCCCCCCATCAACCCGTGCCCCTCGCCAGAAATAACCGAAAACAGCACCAGCCTAGTGCGCTTGCTCTTCCTTGGCAACCTCTCCATAGCCATAGCGCACCGGGGAACTCCATGGCTGTATGCAAAACAAAAGCACCTGATCCATGCTTCTCGCTCGGCTCCACAAACACCACTATCGTACATCGACATCCCTGTACATACATACACAACGCTCCTCAACGCCCAAGTCCCACCCCTCGGGCTCCGTTTTTTTGTCAACACTACCGTGCTCTACAATGCCCTAGTCGCGCCATTCACGCCCCCTACACTCGCTTCCGTGCTCTCCTCGGACTGGCTGCTTGCCTCGTCCTCAGGCTCGTCTTCCTCTTCCAGCACAATCTGCTCCAGGACCCGCTTATCAAACAGATCTAGTATGAACCGGCACGCTGGAAGCCGAAAATGATGTGCTTCTAGTACTTGCATCACCTTGTGGAAAATGGCCGGTTTGCTGAAGCCTGGTGCCTTTCTAGCCTTGATACTAAATGCCCACGCGTTAGCTTCTTTTGCACTCACCCATCGTACCTGGTCTTTCACAACACCACCTCACTTACGCTTGCAGGTCGCTGGCTGCCTTTTTGGCAAGCACAGTGTTGCCCAGGTCCGTCACAAGTTTGAGAATGCGCGCATTGACCGGGTCCTCATCCGTGACCGCAACCTTGATCTCCGCTTTGGGGTTCCAGCTCATCTCCTCTGCCTGTGCCACCCAGGGTCCCATCTGCAGAACCATTAGTGCATTTTTCTTCCGAGAAAAGAGAAACTCTGTTACTGACCGTGAAGAGTCTGTTGAAGTCCAGGGGTAGACAAAACCCTAGCGCTTCACCTGAATCATTCACTACGCCATCCCAACCGTGTTCCAGCAGAATCTCCTGTCCGTGAAGACTCCTCGAAATCAACCCTAGCACATAGAAGGCTGTCCCTCGGAGCGACATGACCTCCGACTGCTCGGCAATCTGCACAATCCACTTGACCACGTCCGAGTTCTCCAGAAATGGCGCGCCCAGCTCCATGGACCCGACATTGCCCACTGCCCACAGGCAGCCTTTGACCTTGAGGATAATCTCGGGATCGTCGTTTTCCGACGCAAAGTCTCGAATCGTCGCGGCGAATTCATCAAAGTGTCCTTTTTGTTTGAGGAGCTTGCACCCTTCCTTAGTTCTCGTTAGCTCGCGATAAAAATGCGGCGGCACAAGACCATAGTCTGTCGGCTCGGGCGCCTCGTCGTATGTTTGTTGAACCGATGGCTTCTCGGGTATGTCCGCAAGCGCCCGGGCCATGGACGCTTCGATCAGAGCCACATAGGTGTCATTTCTCCCCAAAAACCAGTCGTCCATTTCTCTCGTGATGTAATCCAATCCGTCCAGATAGTGGTAGCCTACCGAAGTTGACAGGAATCGGAGTAGTAGCGGTGCCCCAATCTCCCCCAAATGGTCCAGCGCTGGACGGCACTTGACCACAAACTCCAGCGACTCCTTCTGATTGCAAGCCTCCTCGAGGATCTTGATCGCAACCTCGCACACTTCTACGTCCGGGTCGTAAAGCTGCGTCACCAGCAGTCTGATGGCCCATTCGGCCACACAAGCAGAACTGCTGGTTCCCATGGGTTTGGTCGCGTACTTGCGTAACAATCTAGTGGCAAAGATGCGTATCTCTTTAGAACACGACGTCATTGCTTTCGAGATGATGATGCGTAGATGGCCGTCCAGTGTGTAGTCCAAGTTGCTCAGAAGCGTCCGGATCAGATCGTCGCGGTCGTTGAGTTCGATGATGTGGTAGAACATATTGATAACTCTCCATCGTTCCAGAATCTGGATACCCCGGATGTCTTTCGTCAGAGCCCCGAGCAGCGCAAAGTAACCTCCAGTAAGCGTTTCATTCATGCGATCCGTCTGGAAAATGGGTGATTCAGATGTCAGGCCGCTCATCCGATCAAAATGCGATAGGCATTCTGCGAGTTGACGGATAAATTTACTCTCCGCCAAGTATTTGACGCCTTCTGGGTTTTGTAGCAGGCTCTGCATTAGAGCACAACCGGCTCGAACATATCGCTGGTTTGGCTTAGTGTTCTTAACCTCAGAAAATCGATATTTGAACGGACGATAGAATCCCAGGACGCGGTGGATGAATTTGGTAACCTTGATGGCTTCATCCAACCGTTTGGGGTTCAACAACGGCCCCTCGATGATGTTTAGAATCAAGTCCCATCTCCATTTTTGGAACGTGACTGTGTTCAGTACCTGGGTTTCGACCATCAGGTTCCGAAATTGGCCCTCGTCAACTTGCATAGCAGCCTGCAGCTTCGCTGCTTGGTCAGACTGTCTATTTGCTGATGCATCATCAGAAGTCGAGATGCTTTTGGTGTTGTACAAGGACGTTGGATCCGACCGGTAGAGTGTTCTGTTGATACTGTCCACCTGGTAAATGGTGCCAATTGCAACAAAACGGCTTTCAGATTGAAACTTTGCTGCAGAGTGCAAGAGCTGAGGAAGCACCTGGAGCTGGGCGCTCCATGATGGTGGCAAGAGTTCATTTGCCATCTTCAGAACCTCTCCGATGAGCAGGGTTGTTTTGCGCTTCAGCGGCAGTGTGAGGGGCTCTGCTTCGGCCTGTAGCAAAGCTGGCATCAAGCCGGCGTGCAGAAATGCCGCCAGAATTACAGAGACGTAGTGATCCAGCAAGCTCCACTTGGTGGTATCATCTTCAGTGCTACTGGTAGCTGTCGTGTCTTTGATTTGCTGATTTTTGAGATTCGTAACACGTCCATATGTAGTCAGTCGACGTCCAGCAAGAAACGAGGAGGACCAAGAAGGGGGTTTGATCCTAAGAAGATCAAACAGTAATTCTAGAAGAACACTCCGAACGTGAGGAGTAGGTATTTGTAATGACCATAGTAGAGATCGGAGAGGAAGAAAGTCGTTCATTGAAAGAGTGAGTAGCCCGCCCCAACTTCGGAGCAAAGACGCAATGACCTTGGCATTGACTTTAAGTTTTTCTTCATGAAGATGTCCGTGAATCGTGCCAGCGTCAGTAAACAATGCAAATGGCGCTTCGAGTTCTCGCCCAGATCGCAAGAATCGACGTCTTCTGGGCGTGTCAAGAAGGTAAAGGAATGAGGTACCAACACTCTCTGCGGCGAGGTAGCTTCCTTCTCCCAAAGCATCGGCCAAAGCGCCCATGCCCCCAGCTGAGACCAGAAGAGATGGTTTTCGAACAAGAATTTCAGCCAGAGTCAGTGTTGCAATGTTTCTGAGACGGTCTTCTGCATTCTCGGCCACAGCCACAATGATGCGGACTACGGCGCGTGCAATCTCTTCGACACCTCCTTTAACATCTAGAAAAGCTCGAACAAACTTCAGTGCTTGTTCACGCTCAACACTAGCCTTGCTCTCCTTGACCAATGATAGAATGACCAAGTGATCCGTATGAAGGGCCCGTATAATTCGGAGCGACTTGCGGTCGGTAAAGGAGTAGCGCATGACACGATACGCCGCTGCGACTACTTCACGACTGTCGCTGAGCAGCATCGTCTGCATTCGTAGTCCGAACACGGACCAGGCTAGGTCGTACTTGAGTGTAGGATGTCGCTTGAAGAGAAGAACGAGAGAGTTTGCTCTCTCTACATAGTATTCCGGTTGCATGCCCTGGACTTCCAGAGCCTGAAGTATCTCGGCAAGGACAAAGGTTGGTGACTCGGTCTCCTCGTCTCCGTCCTCTTCTTTCTGGGCCACATGGCGTGATGGTGAGCGCGATAGGTTACGACGGAAAAGATACGAGAGCCTGCTTTGGGGGTCGGCTGGTGGGGATTTGACCTCCTTGGCTCTCTGCTTCTCTGCAGCCAAGCCAGACTGGAGCTGGGCCAGTTTTCTGTTTGATATATTTAGCTGTTCCTCGACTTGCAGCCGTTGATTCTTGACTTCTTTTGCATTCTTTGCATTAAGTGCCTCCAACAGGTTCTCTGAGCCAATCTTGATTTTGGTCTCCTTCTCGATTTGGTCCTGCAGCTCAGCCTGTCGCTGCTCGGACGTGGTTCCGTCGTGGTCGGCAATAGTGATGGCGTGCATGTCGAAGTCGGGGCGGGCCCTGCCGTCCTGAGCTGTCGATGGCCTGGTCAGAGCCGTGTTGAAGCTGCCGGGCCCCGTGTTTGCAGTCGCATACGAGGCATACGAGGCCTGGCCACCCCGCGAACTGGCCATACCAGCGGCCGACATGGAACGGCCATCTCTACTCGTCGTGGGCGCCAGGAGCGAGGTCTGATCGGCAGCGTCGGCCTGGGCGTTGAGTGAACGGGCGGATGGCGTCATGAGCGCGCCTTAACCGTGACCTGGCCAACCGCATCGCACATGTGTCTGGCGGCGGAGCCCTTGTCTTGCCTCATGAGCATTCGCGGGCAGAGGTGAAGGTGTGCCCGTCGCGGTACCAGACCGGAAGCGGAGATGTGGCTTAGCCGCGACGTGGGAGGGAGTGGCCGTGGCCGTGGCAGAGGCTGGCGAGAGTGGGGCGCGTGTGTATGGCGGGTGAGTGTGAATGAGGTGGGAAAACAGCGCCGTCCATAGCCATCGCGACCTGATGCGGGCGGTGGCCGCTCGACGTGCACGGACTGGGCTGCCCCCTCCCCCCCTGCTACTACACTACATACTACTTCAAAACACACACTTGGTTGCATTGTACGTTGTACATTGCACATGCATACAGTACTTGTATGTGCATACATGTCCCCGTCCTGCAGCCTCAAACTGTAATCATCTCGACCTGGACTGACCATGGCCTGATGCCGTGCCGAGTCGAGTCTGCCGACGAGGCCCCTCCACGCCAAAGCCGTGCAATCTGCCCTCTTTGTGCATCGGCAAGCGGGGGCCTGGCTCTCTCCCCGTCACGTGCGCGCCCTGCGCCGTTATCCAGGGCCTCGTCCATCAACCGGAGCTCGCCGATGGCCATGTCAACGAATCGAAGCGCGTTCCCGCCGCTTCCTGCGCGATAGTCCATAGCTTGCTCGTGAAACCATCCGATACACATCGGTCTCCTCCGCTTGCCGGTTCCCAGTCCAGCTGCCGTCTTCCAGTAGTATATCTATCTTGATCGCCCTTTCGTGACTGTCTACTTCATCTGTCCATCATCGTCCAATTCGCCTCACCACAATGTCTCAGCTTAGCTACGCCCGCTACGGCAAGGACAATGTCCGCCTGTACAAGGTCGACAAGGACCCCAAGACCGGCATCCACACAATTGTCGAGCAGACAGTGCGCATCTTGCTCGAGGGAGATATTGAGCAATCGTAAGCATACTAATACAAGTCGCCATGACGCCAACTGACGCGCCTCAGCTACACCAAAGCAGACAACTCGGTAGTCGTCGCGACCGACACGCAGAAGCAGACCACCTACATTCTCGCAAAGCAACACCCCATCGACCCGCCAGAGCAGTTCGCCGCCATCATTGGCAACCACTTCATCAAGACTTACCCTCACATCCACGCTGCCCACGTCAAGATCATCCAGCACCGATGGACGCGCATGTCTATTGATGGCAAGCCTCACCCGCACTCATTCTACCGCGACGGCGAAGAGACGCGCGTCATCGAGGCCGTAACCCGCGAAAACGAAGGCGTCTCCATCCGCTCCAAGATTGAGAAGCTGCTAGTCCTCAAGAGCACAGGGTCAGCATTCCATGGTTTCCATCGCGACGAGTATACAAGACTACCCGAGACATGGGATCGTATCCTGAGCACCGAGATTGAAGCCGGGTGGCAGTGGAAGCTGTTTAAGACTTTGGACGAGGTTAGCAAGATTGACTTCGGCGCTGCATGGAGAACTGCACGAGATATCACCATGAAGGTATTTGCCGAGGACGACAGTGCGAGCGTGCAGGCAACCATGTACAAGATGTGCGATTTGATCTTAGCCGCTGTTCCCGAGGTTGAGGCTGTCGACTATTCGCTCCCCAACAAGCACTACTTTGAGATAGGTCAGTGCATTCAGTCCATATTCACATATTCCAATTTGCTAACACGATATATAGATCTCTCATGGCACAAGGACATCAAGAACACAGGCAAAGACGCCACGGTTCTCGCGCCTCAAACTGACCCCAATGGTCTCATTCAGTGCACTGTCACTCGCAAGGGAACAAAGTCCAAGCTGTAAACATCATCTGTGATTATCGTGTTGCATCTGCCAGAATGCGGCGCCTTGATTTCTTGTATACCCTTTGACGCTTAGTAATTTTAGGGGGCGAACTTAGAGTGAGTAGAACATTATACCAATACATAGGAGAGTACTGGAGAGTAGCAAAAGTTGAAAAATATGAAAATGAATTTTACGAACTTCTGACTGTCCCAATCGCAAGTGCATGCCGGACCCAGAAGACTATATCTTCTTCAAACTTGCCAGAATTCTATTTTCAAGGCTGAATTTGCAGTTACAATTGTGATCACTTTGGCGTAATGTCCGCTATGCGCCCGCACCTGCAGAACCGGGATGGTCTTACCTAAGCAATATCAAGCCAGTGACGTTCTAGCATGCCCAAAACTTATCGCGAACTTCATCAACTAGCAGCCGCATCGCATCCAACGCACCACCACATACCCATCTTCGATCAAATCACACGGTACGACATAGTAATTCCAGAAAACTCTAGTGTAGCGACTAACAGTGACGTAGTGTTTCACACAACCGCAGCGATGCCTCCCAAATACATGACTGGCAAGGGCCGCACCGTTCAAGAGCCCAGCTTCGCCTCCAGTACCATCTCGGCGTTTACCAGCAAGGAGAACAGGAGCATTGTCACCGCTGCTGGAATGTTCGCTGTAAGATAATTCCCGGTGATAGAGAAGGATGCATGAAAGACTTGGTTCGGGTAGCCAGTGGGGCGCAAATGAGGACATCTTAGAAGGGCAATGACGCAAAGATACAATGCTGACAATTGACTGCGCAGCTTGGTGTCGCTTTCCTACACAGCAGCTGGGCTGAGATTCTCCTGCCTGCGTAAGCGAACCGATCGGATACAGGAGAAAGAAACAATATATGCGCTGCCATTGAATATCCTGACGCCAGGATTGAATATCGATATGCGTGCAGGAGACACAGCCTGTGATCAGAAAAAAAACCCCAAAGAATCTCTACACCTATGTGCATATACCGAATTTTACCCCAGGGATGAGCAATGGAACAGCCGTTCAGGCACAGCTACGATGGCGGGGAAAAAAATTAGGTAAACCTAAACACGGTTCCAAGCATCTTTGTAACAATATGTAACAATAATCTCCCTCTTACCCCTCTGTTCTCCCCTTCCTTCCCTCTCGTATTCGATGTTCTCTCTTTAGACGATCGATTCGACAATACGTCACAACCATCGCAGAGCCGCACCGGCTGAAACCCCACATGCTTCACCCGCACGCTTCATCCCAAATGCCAAGCGCTGTCTTGTTGTCACGGAGAAAAGGAAAGAAAGCTTGTACATGACACTCGGACGGTTTACTTTTTCCTCCCCCTCTGACTCAACGTCGCCGTTAGCCCCCCTCGAACCCGACACATTCCAAGCTTGGCCCTGTGTTTCGGGGTTTGGTTCCAAAGAACCCAGCCTCATTTGAAGCTGCCACTGTCCCAATATGGACGTTGCCAAGTATTTCACTCACGCTTGGCCATCAAGTCAGCCACACCCCATGCGCCGTACCTGTGTCAAGTGGGTGGGCTCAGCCGATGCTCGTGCCATTTTCTAGGCAACCCGTCGCGTACCTTACTTACGCCTTGCTGGTCCCTGGAAAACCAAAAAGGGAGATGAACATATGGCACTCTTTTAAGAGAACAAAAAAAGTGAGGCTAAGCTATACGACGGGTAGATACGATGCCGCGCCTCCTTCCGCGAATCTCATTCCCACTGCCTCTTTTTGATTTCATTGGAGGTTCCTTGTGCAAAGCGCACTATCCCCAATAGACAAGTATGTAAGCATAAGCAAGAAGATGTGAAAAAGCGTGAACGAAGGGGGGGGGCGCGTACACGACGTATTGAAAGCGTACACGTGCAATACGTCGTAAATCAAGCCCTCCCCCTCCCCCCATTTCCTACTCACAGTCAATCACATTCAATCACTTTTTCTGCCCTAGGCCCCGTAAGTAAGCTAGCACATAAAAGAAAACAATCAATCACATCCCTAACCGCCCATCGTTGACCGCCTCCATATGTCGGAGAGAAGAAAAAAAATGACTTGCTCACGTCCCCCCCTCCCCACGCGATCGATTGGTCCGCAAGCCAAGTATCTTGGACGAGAGATACCGCCCCCGCTCCCCGCTCCTCTGCTTCAATCATGCGCCAATGGGATGTCCAGGGAAGAGAAAAGAAAAAGGGGGACTAGGCACGCCGGCTTGATGAATGACTGACATTTCTTGGCCTTTCATGTGTGTCTGTGTCTGTCTGTCTGTCTCTCTGTTGTTCCTTCCTTTTCGGCCGTTTTCTGGCCTACCAAACCCCCGGTTGTCGGGTTTTTTCCTTCTTATGAAGGGATATGCATGCCTTGGTGTTGTTGGTTTCGTAAGCGCTGGTGGCGCTTTCCCTTTCCCACCCCTCACCCCCTTCCTTCTTTCTCACGTGCGGATGTGTAAGCTGTCGTGTTCTGGACGAGTATCGGAGAAAAGGTGAGGGTGCTTGGCTGGCTGGGACATGTGCCGAAGTGGTGGTAAATGTGCATAGTTGAGGTAAAAAAAAAAGCATGTGAATATGGAACTTGAGCATATGCAGCACAAAAACATTTGTATAGACATTGATCAAAACCATCATCCCTCGATTGGCAACTACGCAAACAAACAAAAATCACAGACAGTTCTCTAACTTTTTTTCAGAGTAAAATTGTCTGCCTGTGTGTATGCGGGTAAATTCGGATCAACAGTCCGGCTGTGAAAGAAAAAGTGACAGTGTACAAAAAGTTGAGGTCTCTGTATCTAAACCAGAAAACAGGACCCGGCATTAAGGCCCGCTAGAATTACAGCAACAAGAGAAACCTGGCCATCCTCAAGATGACAACAATCAGACCCTATCAAGAAGGCATACAAGAATGATAAAGGGAAATGTGTCGTAAACATGCGTGATGCTGGGGTATCTTTAGTCTATACTTCTCTAACCCAAACCTAGCAATGCAGTTAGTACATGGTCATTCAATTCGAGAGTGAGTATTTGGCAGTGACTTACCTCCATCTTCGCAACATCGGAGCCTTCCTTCTTAGCAATGCTCTTCGCCGCCTGGATAGCCATATCCAGGTCATCTTGATCAGCCATGGTAATCATGTCACCATCGTCCTTGAACTCGAGCTTGAACTTGTTCCGGACACCAAACTTCTCACGAATCTGTTGCCAGAATTCGGTGATGAGCTGATCTGAGCTGATGAAGACGTAGCGTGTGTCGGTAGAGTGAACCTTGACTCTGACCTTACTACCTGCACCGCGGTTGCTGCCACCGGATCTGGTGGACCTCGCCGGCGATCGTCTCCTTGATTTGGTGCGGGGCATCATTTCAAACTCGGCATCGTCAAGATCACTGCCATCGTAGTCGTCTTCCTCCTCCTCTTCAATGTACGCTGGTCTTCTGGTCGACTTTGTACGGGAGTATTGGCCGCGGCTTGAACGCGATGGTGGATAACCATCATCCTCGTAGTAGTCATCGATGATGTCTTCGTCAGAGCCACGGCGGCGCTGCTGCCTGCTATACTCACGATCGCGTGTGTCACGATCACGAGGGTCACGATCGCGGGTCTCTCGCTCCCGCGTATCGCGCTGTCCCCGCTCACGTGTAGACTCTGAGCGAGCTGGCGGCGGTCGCTCCGATGCAGAGCGCTGTGTTGGCTGGCGGCGGGGCGGCTCTTGGCTGCTTGGCTGGTCGAAAGCAGCTCGTCCAAGATTCAAAGGCTGGGGCTTGGGCCCACCACCTCGTACAGACTGTGCGCGGCTCATGGGGGCGTTGGGATCAGCTGCAGGTCGTGCTCCAGCAGATCTCCTTTCACCAGATCGCCTATCTGCCTCTGGTGGTGGTGTGGGTGGGAATACATTACGGTTCATCGGGGGTTCCGACTGCTGGCGTGCTCGGCTTTGGAGCTCTGGCTTGACAAGGTTGGTTGCTGCATAGGAGATCTTGTCTTCGGTTCTGTCGTCCTTTGCAGCCTGGCCTCCCTTCTTCATCTCAGCACCGGTAAAGCCGGTAAATGCGTTGGATCGGTCTGATGCGGCAACAAGGCGGGCCTTTCCAAGATAGTCCTTTGTCTTCAAGTTCTTGACCTTTGCCTCGTTGGGGCGGTAGACGATGCCAACGGGAATCGAGAAGACGGTGTAGCCCTAGAGGGGCATTGTTAGTTCGTAGCACATTGATGCCAATGCAGAGCCACACATACCTCGGCTTCCTCTCGAATGGCCTCGTCAATGACATCGTGGTCTGGAACCACCTTCTCCTTGGCAGCAAAGGAAAGATCCTGCAGACCGGCTTCCCTCTGTTGGAGGTAGATGTAGCAGAGACCACGGTTGAACAAGACCTCGCAAGAGTAGAGCTTGAACTTTAGGCCCAGCTGTTCGTAGTCGATGTTGTTGTTTCCACGCAGGTACAAGAGAGTGTCGTTGAAGTTGGCGAGGGCCTCTTCAAAGTCACCCATGAGGAAGTTGGACACACCCTGCTGGAAGTATGCGACTGCGAGATACTGGTCCAGACGCACAGCGCGCTGGTAGCATTCGACCTGGGGAGCTTGTCAGTATGCCCCTCATGGCATCCGCAGCGAAGCGCGCAACTTACCGCCTTCTCGTGCTCGCCGAGGGTAGCATGGATTACGCCGCAATTAAACAAAATCTTGGATGTGTCGGAGATCTGCTCAAAGACCTTCAGTGCCACGTCGAATTCGTTGTTGTCGTAGCTGGCGAGGGCTGCCACCCAGGTTTCGATTTCCTGGCCTTTCTATCAGCAATTGCAGGTGGTGAGGGCTGCTGTTGAGCGTACCTGTTTCAGAGACATGACGAGTGGTTTTCACTTGTTTACCCGGCAGTATGGTGTCGTCAAGCCTCAGCTTACTCTTGCTCTCCCGCTCTCTTCTCTTATCAGCCCACTCTGCGAGGGTCGTATCTTCTTTCTCTCTTTCACACAAACACACACACACACAAACACAGACGGGAGGGTTAAAAGCCTTGGGGGAGGGTCAGGTGCGGGAGGATTAGGGTTGTAGCCGCCGGGGCTATTTGGGTGGCGCGGTGCTGACTATTATTGCTCCGAGAGGGAATGTGCGGTGGTGGTAAGGTATTAGCAGGTCGAGACGGCCTGGATGCAGCTCGGAGCGGAGCGGTTCGCGGTGAAATAAACGATTGTAGCGGTGCAAACGATTAGAGCACAGTTGGAGGGCCGGAAGAGAGGGAAGAAGGTTTCGATGGCGACACGCAGAAGAGACAGGGGACGGTGGGCATATGGCGGGCGGTTGTGCTACGAGGGCTATAGGTGGGGAGAGCAAATCTGAGGACCATCGTGTTTGAGGCACAAGGCTTGGCTGGCACCTCGTCCGTCGAGGTGATTGGACCCCTGCAGCATCGACAGCGCTTCGAGCTGGCCATCCAAGACGCCGCAAGCCGGCCAAGTCAGCCCGCCCGCCCACCGTGGCACCACCGCCTGCTCGTTTGGCCTGTCTTCGCCTCTGCTCGCTCTCGTCCACCCGCTCTGTGCGTGAAGCGTGCTGGTGTCGGAGCTGCTCAGCGCTCGCCTCGCAGCAGCCCCCTTGGACCAGGGCGTAGAAGTGGCGTTTGAGGTCTGTTACACGGCCACGGTCCGACTGAGACAGCCACGTGACAGAAGCCCTTCCCAGCCAGTCATCCCATCGCCTGGCCCTCTCAGGCATGAACGCATAACAACACCAATCCTCCTCGACTCAACCATCCCGCACCCGCAGTTTCGGCCTCGCCATCCAGGCACGCGTGTTATCTTAGCAGCACACCCTCGCGGCACTTGGACGGCACTTTGATTGCTTGGTCTATCTTGGTATTACTTATCTCGTCTTCATCAGAGCATACCGCGATCGCGCTGCTCCTCGCGCTCCTGCCATACCGTCTTGCCCGAACATGAACACACTGTCTTGTCGTCTGCAGTCACATAAAAGTTAGCCATCGTATGTGTGTGTGTGTGCGTGTGCGTGTATGTGTGCGTGTCCATGTGGGACCTGGGGTTGCTCCATGTCCCAGAACACGTGGGGACATATGGCAAAGCACTTACTATCCCATACACCCGCACTGCGTGCAATGACCCCAACAAGGGTGTCCGCATCGTTCTTGTCAAACTATCGTGAGGTTAGATTAGATCAAGGCCCAGCTCCATGGTGACGCATACCTTGCCATCCTGCTCTCTCGCAACCACAATGCTGCGTCCAATCACTTCCCAGATGTGGATAGGCTTGTCGAGAAACACCCATCCTACTCCACCCTTTCCAACCTGAACGGTTCCAAAGATGCCTCGACAAGGCTTGGTCGCCTTTTGTGACTGACCAAGTTCCCAAATTCCACCAGTCGATTCAGGTCCCTCGGAAATGTTTCCCGACTCACGTACTGTAGCATGATAGGTTCCAGGTGACAACCCTCTTATACTCAAGTCCACAATGGTCATACCAGGAGAAACTTCCACCATGCGCACCAGGCCGCGAACCTTGTTCTCCACCTGTGGCGCATGTGATTCTAGAATGCATACCGCTGCACCTGCGTGGCATGGTTAGCATCCCATCTTATGAGTATACGCGCGTGTGCCAAGTCAACGACACGAACGTACTGTCTGATTTGCCTGACCCCCGAAGGACAGCATCACGCCCAGTAGCTTGAATCGCCTCTACAATGGCCGACGGCGCTGCTGTGCCCTCGATAGACACTAATTGCTCCTCGAGGTTGGCAGTCACTTTGTTGATACCTGCACCTTGTCAGAAGCCGAAAATGACGTGCATTGGTAGTCGGCGCTCGTACCACTCAACTGGTGTAGGGAACCCTCGATGTCGTTGATGCACGACTGACAGGTCATGGGCACTGCGAATATCGTTTCAAAGGGTGTTACCGCCATGGCGAAAAGATTGCAATCGGTATAATAATGCCAAAAGGCTCGACTGTGGAACAAGAGGAAATGGTCAAAGTTGTAAAAACATGCCACTTCGCCCTTGTACTTATTACTCGGCTTTGAAATCCACACCCGAATCCCCCGCCAGACATGGATGCTGCGCTGGGGTGGGCAGATCTTATCAATCATGTGACTGCGTTCTGGAAATTGTGAGCATTGCGGCTTGGCATCAACCTTCACTGTGCAGCGAGCACCACTGCGACCACGAGACTGCACCCGCCCAACCGCCTTCTGGACAGTCCTAGGGCGACTGTTGACTTGTTGTACTACAGCAGACAGTCGGTTTCCCTGGCCATTGGCCTCATACCACACAATGTCGCAAGTCATAGGCAAGGTACACATCCCCCATCGGACCTCCGCATGCCCATATCCAGGTCCTTCAGGCAGTTTCCCTCTAACACAAACAATATAAACCCCCTCGATACACCCCAGCTAACCCAATCCCCCAGACGCGCCTCGCTTATGCCCGCTCCTGGCACCACCTCGACATCGGCAGCGACCCACGCGCCCTCGGCCGCGTCGCCTCCTCCATAGCCCTCACCCTCATGGGCAAGCACAAACCCATCTTCGACCCCTCCACCGACTGCGGCGACTACGTCGTCGCCACAAACTGCGCCCAGCTGCACACAACCGGCAAAAAGCGCTTCCAGAAACTCTACCGCACACACAACACCCGGCCCGGCTCACTAAAAGAACTTTCCATGGATAAGCTCATGGCGAAATGGGGCGGTGGAGAGGTGCTGAGGAAGGCTGTGAGCGGCATGTTGCCGAAGAATCGGCTGCGGAAGGAGAGACTGGCGCGGTTGAAGACTTTTGAGGGGAGGGCGCATCCGTACGGGGAGAATTTGATCAAGGTGGGGAATGGAGGCGGGCAGAGTATAGTGGAGCATCAGCATGTTAAAAGGGCGTTTGCAAGGGCGAGGGAGACACAGGGTGACGCGGCCCTGGCTTCATGACAGTGTGGAGCTGGGCTTGTGGAGATGAAGCAACTGAGAGTGTAGACTTGTAATAAAAAAAACTTGTATGCATGAGTATGGTATGTATGGGTTGGCTGCATTTTTGGATTCCAGTACGCATGAAAATGAACAGGAACAGGAACGCGCGTCTGACACCCTATTTTTGATCATGGGACAAGACAGAATGGGAAGAAATGGGATATACGCGGTGTTCAATTATTACAAGTGAATCATTAACGCATGGCTAAGCCACCCAACACGATCCATTTCTTTTGATGAGCTTCTCTATTACCGGCATTATACGCGTGTCTCTCCGCCCGTCATCTAGCCGTGAAGATATGTGCGAGAAGATAAAAAAGATGCGTGAATTCCTTTGCCTAAAAAAGAGTAAAACCCGCTATGCAAAAGCCCTGCCCGCCCGTGTAAGAGACGCAAACGCCGTGAATGCCATTCTGAAACTCCTGATTCCATGGGAGAAGACAAAGAAATTTGACAAGAGAACAGCGAGGAAAGAAGAAACCAGAGGCCCGAGGGCCCAATTCAGACGTATAAGCTGGCGAACAAAAGCGAATCGCTTTACTCCTTTTTACTAGCAAGGACGCTGTATTGCCCACCGCAGCCCGCCCAGGTAAGCTTCGTCTCGCGAACAGCAGTATTGTCAATCATGGTTGGCACCTCAATGTCGTCATCAGTGCCCTGGCCGGTCTGATAGTTGGCCGAGAAGCCCCATGAGTAGGCCTTGCCGTCCTTGTCAATGACGATGCTGTGATCAGGACCGCATGCACCAGTGACAACGTTCTTGAGGTTGGGAAGAGGCGTGGGCTGGACAACAATCTTGGCCTTGCCATTGTTCTTCAACACCTTATCCTCATCTGTCTCAGCATCGAGCTCAGACTGAGGCAGACCGGTCTGCGCGCCGTCGCAGCGACCCCACACAAGCACCTGCCCATCCTTGGTGATGGCAAGGTTGTGGTGAGCACCTGCAGCCAGTGACTCCACCGACTTTCCTTCCAGGCTGTGTATGATCTTGGGCTGAAGAACGCTGGCATCCTCTGCACCAGCGTTATCGGTATAGCCCGTTTCACAATAATTATTCGCACCCCAGGCCCAAATGTGACCATCTTCTGCTATTGCGAGACCGTGGTAGTCACCAGATGCAATGGACGCTATTCTCTGACTGTGCTTCTTGATCGAAGTATCGTGAAAGCCGATCCTGTTGGGTTGCAGAGCTTGGTGCAAATTGCGCTCAGTCACGCGGCGACCGAGCTGATTCTGCTGACCGTTGCCCCAAGCATACACGTGTCGGTCCTTGTCCAGTACGTAGACATGATTAGTACCGCAAACAATCTGTGTAACCTTCTTGACGGTATCCAGGTAGACAGGACGCGGCGCAGTGTGGTTGCCACGCTCGAAACCAAGAATACCTTCGTTTTTGCGGAAAGTGCCCCATCCGTAAACAGCTCCCTCAGTTGTCAGCGCAAAGGAGCAGCTGTCGCCAGCAGCAACGTCGACGAAGGTTGTATCTTCGGGGAAAAACTCTGCTGGAACAGGCTTCGGTGTGGCCTCCTCGTCATTCAGACCACCAGTCTCGTCTTCTGAATCGGAGTCAGAATCGTCTGCGCCGACGTCGCGCATCTTGACGTTGGCGTTGGATGTGTCACGCCCAAGCGCACCGTTGTCGTTTACGCCCCATGTCAGGATCTTGTTGTCCTTTGTCAGCGCAACAACGTGCATACCGCCAGTAGCGATCCTAACGACGTTCATGTTCGTCAGGGCTTCATTGTAGCGTGGTCGCTTGACATCAATGGCCTTTTTCGTGGCCCCGAATCCAAGTTCACCAGAACCACCCTCACCGAATACGAAAACCTTGAGCGGCTCAGTGTAGCGGATGGCGTTGATTTCGGTCTTCTTTCCCTTTGCGCGTCTTGGGCCCTTGGGGTTCGGGATAAGGGCGGGGTTGATCTTGGCCTTGGGCTCAGCTTGTGGCGTTGGGGCCTTGGACTCGACCTTGGAGGCAGCTTCGGGTGTGGGCTCTGGCGACGCTTCAGGCTCGCCCTCGGGTGCGGTCTCTGGAGCAGCCTCGGGAGCAGGCTTAGGAGCAGGCTTAGGAGCGGCCTTTGGCGCGGCCTTTGGCGCAACCTTCGCACCGTTGACCTTGGCCTTCTTTACAGCAGGCGCGGGAGCCTCTTCCGCTTCCTGCTCGCTCTCCTCATCTTTCTTGCGCTTAGTTGTCTTCTTAGTTGCGACCTTGGGCTCAGCCGTAGGAGTCTCCGTCTTCTTCGCGCGACCGCGTGCAGCAGCTGCAGAATTCTTAGCAAGTGATGACTTTGATTCGGACGCGTCATTCTTACGCTTTTGAGCTGGTGCTTCGACTGCTTCGGTCTTTTCATCAACAGATTTTGTCTCCTCAGCTACACCATTGGTAGCGGGCGCGTCGTCACTCTTCTTTGTAACTTTTCGTGGGGCTGCGCGTTGGTTCAGTCGGAGCTTCGTTACTCGCGATGGGTGGTGTGACGTACCAGTGCCATTGGCTTTGACTTCCTTGACGGACTTCTTCTCAGCAGGCTTTGCGCTCGTAGCGCGAGATGCGGCTGTCCTTGCCATTATGCGCGACAAAGAAAACTTGATGCGCGTAAAAAAGGTTGTGTTGGAAACTGTGGTGGAAGAGGTTGGTGTTGTCAAGCACGGAAAAATGTTGAACTATTTAGTAGAGTTGGCGCTAGACTTCACATGGATCCACCGACGTGCAGCCACGGCCCGCCAGCTATTCACCGCGCATCTCACCGCCTGATTGGCTGTCCGGCATTCATTGATCGCGTTCACCCTCGAGGCGCGCAGCATCTCGCATTGTTCTGCTTCCATCACCACTGCATCCCCTTCTGGTCGTCTCGTGCGTCCGGTTGCTTACGTCATATCCCTACACCGCTGGTACCTAGATGGTCGTCTAGGTGCAAGCGTATTCATTACAGGGGTAAATATTACAACATCCTCACCTCCTTCATCATGTTTCACCAGTTCATTGTTCTTGTTGCTGTTCTGAAAGGGGCGCTTTGCGTCCAGCCGGAAGCGCCACCGCCGAAAGCGGCTCCCCTGCGTGACCTGCCATGGGCCCAACTCAACTTCTTGCACACCACCGACATTCACGGCTGGTGGGGAGGCCATTTGCAAGAGTACGTGACATTTTCCTGAAACTCCTTAGTGAGGTTATACTTGGCTCGTCAAGAAACAAACACTCCATCATATTGCGAGTTCTCGTTTACTTCGTGATGATTCATGGTACAACATGATTTCTAACGTGCATCAGAGCATCCTACTCATCAGACTGGGGCGACTATGTCTCCTTTGCTAAACACCTGCGCGAAAAAGCAGATGCGGATGGATCCGATCTATTGCTCGTCGATACCGGAGACCGAGTAGAGGGTAAATTTAAATGAACTCAATACTTGTGACAAACACTGACCTCGCCTCTTTACCATTCTAGGCAATGCAATCTACGACTCTTCGAAACCTCGGGGAAAGTTCACCTATGAGATTGCCAAGGAGCAAAGCATCGACCTTATTTGCTCCGGCAACCATGAGCTTTACAAAGCTAATACCGCTGAAGGGGAGTTTTTCCACACTGTTCCCGACTTCAAGGGCAATTACATAGCTTCGAACCTCGATATTTACAATCCAAAGACCGGAAAATTGGAGCCTCTTGCTCAACGATTCAAGAAATTCACCACCAAGAATCAAGGTATCCGCATCCTGGCCTTTGGGTTTTTGTTTGATTTTACAGGCAATGCGAACAACAGCGTCGTGCAAAGAGTTGAAGACACTGTGAAAGAAGAATGGTTTACGGAGGCTCTCAAAGATCAAGACGTCGATCTTATCCTCGTATTTGGTCATGTTGACATCCGCTCCACAGAGTATGCGCTGCTGTTCTCTACTATCCGTTCTTTGCACTGGGACACCCCAATCCAGTTCTTCGGAGGACATACCCATATCCGTGACTACAAAATCTTCGACAGTAAGTCGGTAGCTCTCGAGAGCGGTCGGTACATGGAAACTATCGGATTCATGTCTATCGCTGGACTCAGCACCGGAGGGACAAAAGACGCAGCACCTGTGCCTCAAAGCTCAGCGCTCACCTTTTCTCGTCGCTATATTGACAACAACCTATTCTCCATGCACCACCATAGCGGTAAAGACGATCAGACTTTCCCGACCGAGCACGGCAAGAAAGTATCAGAAGCCATTGGCGATGCCAGAGAATCTCTCGGCCTTGGCAAGGTATACGGTTGCACACCACAGGATCTATGGATCAGTCGTAGGCCATACCCCCACAACGAAAGCATCTTTACCTGGATCGAGGAACAACTCCTACCCCAATCAATCGAGAAATCCGACCGTATCCGCAATGGAGGCAAAGCACTGGTTCTCACAAACACGGGCGCCATTCGCTTCGACATCTTCAAGGGGCCCTTCACCAAAGATACCAAATTCCTCGTCTCGCCGTTTACCAGCGCAATCCGATACATCAAAGACGTACCATACAAAGCAGCAAGCCAAGTACTAAAACTCCTCAACAACGAGGGGCCGATCCTGTTGGAAATGATGGAAAGCAGAGCATTCCTCCAGCCTCCAGAAGCCTTCGCAGCAAAGTCTAGGCCGCACATGCTTCAGGTACTCGAGACTGCTTATGCGAAACCCGGACACGGCCAAACACCTCTTAGCAGCACTAGCGAAGACGAACCAAAGCCCTTCCCAGGTTACACGACAAAAGATGACGCCGGTACAGATGGTGATGACACAATTCACGAGCCGATTGCCTTTTACAATGTACCGAACTGTATCCAATCAGCCGTTGGATTCGATCCTGCAAGCAGCAAAGATCAGGAGCCTGAGACTGTGGATCTCATGTATAACCAGTTCATTGAGAAGTGGGTTTTGTTGGCGCTGGAATATCTGGGTGGGAAGCATAGTGTGGATGATACGCTAGAATATGATGATGGGAAGAGCTTTACAGATATCATGACTGAATGGGTGGAGGAGTATTGGGGCAAGGATGGAGGGAAATGTGATGAGTGATGAATGGCGATTTAGGAAGTGATTCAGATAGTTTTATACGCAGCGAATCTTGTGATTATCGCTACACTCCCTGCCCAGCGTGTGCTTTGCCTTTTCCGCAATGTCTCTAGAGAAATTGTATGATTGAATGAAGGCGCACGAAACTGTTTGTACAGATTTTTCTCGAGAGACTGAGTATTTCATGACGCCACTACGGTGTAGGAGTGCAGAATTACGTTAAGCGTGTAACAGGCTCAACACAATCCTCACGTCCATCTCATGGTTCATATCCCGCAAGTTTCGAGCTGTGCTTTCGAAAAGTCTTTCAGCATAAACCAATATCTTTCGCCTTAGAAACGCCGTGCCATGTAAATGCATGCCTGTCCCAAACTCCAAATAGTTCGTTTAAATCGTCTGTCGACTATCGGCGGGCTGCGCGGGCTTGTTCTCGTTCGCTGGCGTTGTACCTGTGAACGTTGTTAGCCTCCATTCGGGACGTAACCAAGACCATTGACTCTCGGAATCGCGGCGATTAATCTCCCGAGCCAGGTAGTCGCGCTCAGGACGAGGTACGTACTTGAGGAGCTTCTCGATCAGATCGACGTGGGTGAGAATCATGCGGCGGCAGCAGTAGCGCTGAAGACCGACACTATCGAGTGCTTCGCTAGAAAAATATGCATGTTAGCAAATGTATATATCAAGGGCCTCAGGGTTCGCGTCTGTGGACTTGGGGGTAAAAAGCACTGCCCTGCCCCAAAGTATATGGATAGGGTATAGGAGGATGGTAAGAAAGTCGAGAGAAGTGGGTGCGCTTACGCTTCCTCCATGCCATCACTGAGAAGTGCCATATATTTCTCCCACAGGTCGCCAGTGACCTAACATCGGATCAGTGCATGCGCGCATGAGCTTGAATGGTGGTCATAGTACCTTGCCACAAGAAAAGCAACGGATCGGGACAATCATTTTCAAGTTTCGAGTATTTCACGAGCAGAGTGAAGTATCGCGATCGCAGTATTGCAGTTGTGGGATAACGTAAAAACGTAGTAAACTTGTGGTGGGTGGTGCGCAGCGTTCGCGATGCCGTCTCAAAGAAAGTTGCGGGCGGCGCGCTAAGAACGCGGGCGGTGAAAAGCTCGGGCCAGCTCCATCAAAAAAGATTCTCAAGATACATCTAGTGCACGACCATTACGACAATCGTCACCCATTGTGAATTTTTACGCCAAGCTTACTCTGAGGAGCAGCTGCCATGGCGGATGCAACTCCCCAACTAAAAAGGAAGAGAGAAGAAGCTGCGGCGCAGAAAAAGGCCAAGAAGCAGAGGAAAGAAGAGGCCGCGGCGGCCCTCAAGGACGGTCGCAATGGCGAACCCACAATCTCTGCGACTGATTCGACCCCCAAATCTACTAAGACGACTACCCCGAAGAAGCAATCGAAATCGGCGACGCAGATAAATGGTGTAGACAAAGATGCGACCAACGGTACTCCCACAAGTGCGCAGAAAGCCAAGAAGCCGCAAGCACAGCACAACGGATCGATAGACGATGATGAGGCACAAGCTGCCAGCGCAACAGTCAACGGAATCGCTACTGAAGTGGCGCAAGCTGAGAAAGAGAAACCAAATGGAGTAGCCAATGTGGTGGACAAGGCAGCACGAAAGAAGGCAAAGAAGGAGAGAAGAGAGAAGAACAAAGCAGAGCGCAACGACCTTGGCACGACCGAAACATTGGAACTAGTCAAGAAGAAGAAGAACAAAAAGTTGGGAACTTGGGTTGTATCCCCTGCTCAAGGAGGATGGTATTTGCCTGCGGACCCAGTGTTCTCTAAAGATGAGAAATACCTAATCGTTGCGAATCTCAAGTCGCTGTGTGTCTATGCCACGGATACATCTTTACTTGTCAGCGAGCTCTTGGACAACGAAACTGGATCACTCACGGCATATGCTCTTTCCGCTGTAGCGCCACACCTAATCTATGCCGCCTACTCGTCTGGAGAAATCATGTTGTGGGACTGGGTAACGGGTAAAAAGATAGAGCAATGGGACATTGGCACTACGGTCCAGAATATGGCTGTTATCACACAGCCTGAGTCTGATCAAGATCTCGTGTACTGCCATGAAGCCGAAGATGGGCATAGCCTTACTCTCCGCTCTCTTCGCATCAAAAGCCAGAGTTCCGCCGGCGAATCCAAGTCGGACCTTAAACAGATACTCAACACGAGTTCTGCAATCCGCGGTATCCAGGTTCTCCTGCAAGGCAAATACGTCATTGTTGCAACTGTCGATTCGCTCATTGTCGGGAAGCGCGTCAAGATCACCAAAACAGCGCTTCACGAATTTGAGTACGTCTGGCGCGAGCTGAAGTTCTCAAAGCACATCAGGACCTTCAATGTCTACCATCGCGAGAAGCAGGAAGCTAGCAACGGAAAGAAAGGCGCACAAGATCAAAGGGATATCCTTGACATTGCTGTTGGTGAGGAGACTGGCCTCATCCTCTTGTTCGAGGATATCTTGGCCTCCTTTGCTGCGATTGAAAGCAGTCAGAAGGGCAAAAAAGAGAGAACAGATACTGCTGAAAGTCTCAGGCCTAAGCGCTTACACTGGCACAGGGATGCGGTGGGATCCGTCAAGTGGTCATTAGATGGTGAGTGTGCTCATATTTTAGGGATATGTACGATTACTGATATGATAAGGCAATTACATTGTTTCTGGTGGTGACGAGACTGTCCTTACGATCTGGCAGCTTGCTACGGGACTACCGCAACACCTACCTCACTTGTCGGCAGCTATTGAAAACATCGTAGTCTCTCCCACGGGTTCTGCGTATGCTCTGACACTTGCTAACAACTCGGTCATTGTTCTGTCTACAACCGAGCTCGAGGCGCGCACCAACATTGTTGGCATCCAGTCACGAAGAATCGATACTGAGCAAATGCCAAAAGAGACCAGGTCTGGCAACAAGTACCTTGGAATCTTCGAAGCAGTACCTATGACTGTAGACCCCACAAACCCCAACGAAGTATCACTTGCAGTGCCTTCGTCTCAGCCCCGTCAAAAGAAGGGAGGCCTGAAACCCGAGCCATACCTACAGACGTTTGATCTTGCGAACCAGCGTGCCAAGAGCCGACAGGCATTGACACGCAACAATGCAACAGAGCCTAATGTTGCTCCTGACGGCGGCCGGATCGAAGAGCCCAACGTTACACACATTCAAATCAGCCACGACGGAGAATGGCTTGCGACAGTTGATGAATGGCTTCCACCAAAATCGGATACTCGTTACCTCAATGAAGGTATTCCCGAGTTCAATGAGCAGGAACGCCTGAACCGTCGAGAGGTATATCTGAAGATCTGGCGACGCGACAACAGCAGTGGACAATGGAAGTTGGAGACTCGAATCGACGCACCACACTTCTTCGAGGACAGATGTGGCAATGGCCGTGTTTATGATCTTGTCGCCGACCCTACTGGTGCTGGCTTTGCGACTGTCGGCGAGGATCATGTTGTAAGGACCTGGAAGCCGAAAACGCGGTTACGCGATGGTGTTATCGTTCGCGGGGCTCAGCAAGAAGGTCTGATTACCTGGTCGCTTGATCACGCAGTTGAAATCAGTGACAAGCTTGATATTACCGAAGGATCACAGCAGTCTTTGCCTCCTCGCACCTCGCGGTTAGCCTATTCCGCAGACGGATCGGTTCTTGCTATGTCTGTTTCTTGGGATTTCGAAGAGGATGCGGGAGTAACGCATTTGATTGACACCAGCAGCGGATCAATTCGACGATCGTTGACAGAGATCGATGTGACTGCCTTGTCCGGTCTTGGATTCGTCGGACAGTACTTGGTAGTAGTCGCAGATGTCATTACCGTCTGGGATATGGTCGCCGACCAGCTTGTATACAGCGTCTCCATCGAGACCCCTGGCCTTGACCGCCTGGAGCGCGTGCCACTGGTTCGACTTGCTACGAATGAGACGGATGCTACGTTTGCTGTAGCACTACCTCGACTGGAAAAGAGCGAGTTACATGGCTCCAAGATCAAAAAGGCGTCATCTAAGGTCTTGATCTACAGCCCGGAGCATCACAAAGCACTGTGGAGGGAGACCCTGTCGCCTATGAACCTAGCTCTTGCATCTCGAAGAAGCGAGAGTGGCTACATTGTCCTCGACTCACGCTCTTGCCTCAAGACGATCAGCCCAAGTGCTGGTCCTCTGCAACTCCTCACCCCACCACCTGAAGAGCAGCTCGAGGCGCACCGTATCACCCATCCAGATGAGGTTGACATGGAAGATGATGAGTCTGAGCGACCTCTCGCCAACCTTTTGGTGTCGGAAGATCTCACTCAGGACATTGGTCAAGACGAACATGTGTTTAACATGCAGGACCTACAAAATGTGCTGCATGATGGCTCCGTGCCCCCGCCTCCACAGGGCCTTTTCAGTAATATTCTGGCGTTGATTGGTGGCAAGACACAAAAAGTATCGGCATAGGCGCTGTGCATATCTGGCGATTATGTATCTCGTTTGCACTCTTTATTCTCCTGTAGGATACAATGCCATTGACGTGTTTGTATGCTTAGAATACTTGTGGATATCTTTGGTGTTGTGAAACTGCAGTGCCTTGATGGTTTTTTTGGAGCATGGTATTGGGATACATCTTTCAACACAAGTCCTTATCGAAGCAAGAGGGTTATTCCAATAATGCTATTCTTGCCGCGTATACTTGTTGTTCTGCATACTCATTCCTTTGCATCACAATTCCCTCCAAACCCAAGTTGTGCTCCCCCCCTTCCCCCTTTGCATACCCACGCAAGGCCGCCAACTCCTCGGTACCAAAACAATTGCGGGGTCATGCTCAGCGCCCCCCTCCCGCGCCCCACCGCATCAGCCATGCTATCTCCCGTGTTGTCAGCATTTTTTTTCATTCCGTCCAGCTCTTTCCATCCTAACTGCTGGAGTAATATTTATGTTACATCCGAAATTTGCCATCAACAGAACACGCCCGCTTGGCTTAGTGGTACAGCGTCGCACTCGTATCATACTATATGAAATGCGAAGATCCGCGGTTCGATTCCGCGAGTGGGCATCTTCTTGATTGTATTCCGTCGTTTTTTGCACTTGGTGCTGTGTTCTTTTTTACTATGCTCAAGTTTGATTGATTTTTGGTGAATTTTCTTTTTCTTTTCTTTCGAAGTTTGAATCAAGATGTACTATGTACATACGGTTGTCATTGCCGAATTGGGGCTAGCGTAGGAAGAATTAACCTTTGATTTATGTTCAGGCATGGTTATGAGAGAGAGATATGCTTCTGGAGGAAAGTTGTTTTGTTCAATTTCTTGATTAATTTTTATTTATTTATTTTTCTAAAAAAATCCATGTGTTACTCGACAAGGACGAGGTTTGATTGATTCCAGGAGTGAATGGTATAAGTAAGTATTCATTTGTATTGCGAAATCCCGACTTGAGTCCATCATCAACCAAATACTCTCTACCTAGATATCTAAAAGAAGAAGAGGAAGAAAAACCGCGATAACGCGTTTCAAAGTAACAAGACGGCAATACCCGTTATCTCATCTACCAGGTTCATGAGTTGCCAAGTCTGAGTTTATACAGCGGTGTGTGTGTGAGAGAGAGAGAGGGAGAGAAAAGGACTAATTAGCGCTTTTAGTCCGTGCCCACGCGAATACACTCCACGCCGCAGAACGCAGCGAGTAAACAACAAAACCCTATTCAGTCAAATTTGGGCCGGATAAGGTTTTTCTGCTGATCGCTGCGGGGGGGTGCGAAGGGAAAGATGGGGAGGGAGAATCAGGGGAAAAAAGAAAGAAAGAAATTAAGTAATGGGAAGAGGGAAGGAGGGGAGAACTAGAGGTTTGCTTACTATCGGATATTGTGGACGGAAGTGATCGAGTAAGGTTCGGATAAATTGGAAAGGGAGGAAAAAAAAGGAATGATTAGGGTGCTGGGCTGCTAGCGGACCGTTTGCGGGTGCGGGAGGGAGTAGTGGGTGGAGGGGTAGAAAAAGCAATAATTCCTTTTTTGGAAACTTTGTTTCTGGTGGAGCTGATCTGGGTTGATTATTTGAAAAAGGAAAAGGAAAGGAAGTGATACGATGATAGCCGAGATGAATGGTTCTCCATCTGGACAATCATACTGGAGCAGACTAAGTGAGGTTTGTATTTCCGAAGCAAGAAGAAAAAGAGATGGATAAAAAAATAAAGCCAAGCGGGGTCGGCGTGGAGAATAGTATTGGTATGGAATAAAGTAACTTTGTTCCTCCCAGTCGTCAATAAAGGTATATTCCTTCTTCATCTTCATCGCCCTCTTTCCCTTCAGCCTCTCGGGCCCAAACAAAGTTTGCTTCGCTCTGCGTGCCTTTTCTCTCTCTCTCTCCACATTACCATACTGGTTCTTCGACTGGGGGGTATCGTTTGGTTGTAAAATGCATTGTATGCGTAGTATCGGCACACAATGTAAATGGGGGTAATAATGGTTAAAAAAAGGAGAATAGACAAGAGCAAGGAGACTGATGGCACAAGTTTTTCCTGAATCAAAGAAGAAACAAAAAAACTTCCAAACCTGCGGCTTCTGGTGTCATGAAAGGAAAAAAAGGGTGTATATGTGATAAACAAAAAAACAGAGGAAAAAAGTAAAGGACGTTAGGAAGAAGTGTGAGATGCCGTTAGAAGATGCTGTCATGAACATGAATGTCCTCCTCCTCCTCGTCCCCTTTGGTGTGTTGCATATCTCGTACCACCAGTGGTGTATGTGAGTATGCGTTGTTATTAATAGGATTCTTGTTTTTATAGCTCCCATCGTGTCGACTTTGATTTGTTGTCGGAGTTGGAGTTGCTGTGCTTGGACTGGACAGGTTCTTCGTGCTTCCCAATGTCCTTGAATAGATCGTCGGCGCTCAGACTTAGGGCGTCTTCATTGAGGCCAAAAGAGCTCAGACCAGGCAGAGCCGGGGCTGGAGGGCCCTTTTGTTCGGGAGCTCGGACAGGCTGGGGCTGCGAGACAGTGCGAGCGTTTGCGTAGGTGAGCGAGTCGACGTGGCCCTCTGGGACGGGGCCGGCGATGAAAGTTTTCCTCTTGCCGAACCAGCTGCCACTCTTCCTCCTGTTCAGACTGGGCGCCTGGCTAGTGATGGTCGCGGGAGAGCCCGGCCGGTCAGACTTGAGGCTGTCGGAAGAGGAGAGGGTGCGGATGCCGAGAAACTTGCGCACAGACGTAGGACGTTTGCTCGAGGGACTCGTGGGGGACATGGTGCTTGCTCCATCGCTGGTGCGGCTCTCTCGCGGGTATGAATCGAAAGCCGAGTTGTCTGACGGCTTTTCTGGAGGAGGCGACTCTCTCTGGGGCGGCGAGGCGGGCGACTTGGGGGTGGGATGGGAGGAGAGCGGACCCTTGCCGGGTGTGGGAGGGCGAGGCGACTCGGGAGGACTGTCGAGCGGCGCGGGTATCGAGGTGCCCTCTGTGAGGGAAAAGTTGATGGGCGTCAGCGTCAATGGCTTGTACTGGAACTTTGTCGACGACATGGCAGGCAGAGGCAGGCGCGTGAACCGGGCGGGAGTGGTGTTGGGGTGAGGTTGGAAGGCAGAGAGAGTCTGCTAGGGCGGCAGTGGAGATGCTGTGGTTGGCGTGGCAGCGGCGGGTGAATAGCAACAAGTACTATGAGCAAGAGGCCGCAGGTGGGTGGAAGCTTCAGGAGGTGCGTCGGGCTGATGAAGCGGAGGAACGTGACGGGGGTCTCCACGGCCGGGGCTCGAGAAGTGGGTAGCAGGGACCGGGGGCGTTGGCATAAGGTGCACACGACGGAATACGCAAGACGCAAGACACGCACGCACGCAACCGAGCGAGCGAGCGAGCGAATGCGGCAAAGCAAGGCAAGGCGAGGCGCGGCGCGGCGCGGCGAGGCGAGGCGAAGGGTAGTGGGCGATGGCTTGCTTGTGTGGACAAGGCGCCCATGCGTGTGCGCGGCCGGCCCAAGTGCGCAATTCTCAACGGCGACGACATGGAAACACAGCCGGTTGAGTGTGTGTACATAGCATTCTAAGATGGGCGGTTGCTGTCCACAGACTACGTACATGTACATGGATGGGCACATGCATAAAAAACCCGCGCCGGCAGAGGATATGCAGCCCAAGCCTGCGTACCTGGCATGCCGTGGCTGCCCGGCCCCATCCCACCAGCCACTCAGCGCCGCCCTCGCCCACACCCGTCCACGCATCACGACGTCGACATCCATACAACCATCCATACTCATACTACACGGCTGCGTCTCCAACCCCAGCCCATGTCTGGTAATACGCTGGTTTGTTGACAGTCGCCCGTCCAACCCAAGTACAGCACCGTCTTCCGCCGACATGTCCATTTCTTCGCCCTACCCCTGATTGGCCGGCTCCCGGCATGCTGATGTAATCGCCCTGCCGTCCCTTCCACGCCTTCTTCGGTGTTTCCGTATCCATACATGCACACATCCATACATACATATGTACTACATACATACATACTACACACACACACACACAACTCGCTCATACCCCCCCTTCACCGCGTCTTGCGCTGGTGAATCTCGTCCAGCTCCGCAATCTCATCCAGCAGCTGGCACGTTTCCAGCGGGTTGGCAATCCATGCTGTAGTGCACGCCAACCGCGCCTTGAAATCATTCGCTCCCGCACTAAGAAACTGGTCGCCCACATGCAGTGTCTTGCTGCCTGCAATTCCCCCAAAGATACGCTGGCACGCCAGCACTCCCCATGATTTGTCCCCAATGTCAACAAACACGTCGTTTCCGCCTGCTTTCGTGTCAGTACACATATATCTTGACCTCATATTGCCCAGGGTCGCGCCTTGCAACTCACCATTGAACGCGCAAAACGGCAGCCGTTGGCCAACCTCAGAAATTTCCTACTAGTGTCAGCACAGCCCACGGTCCCCGTCCCCGACGCACATACCAAAATCTTTTGAATAATCAACACTGTCTCTTCTAGCGTCTCACGGCAAAACTTGTATCCAGGCTTGGGCACAATGCCCACTGCCCTCTCCTTGCGCACTACATTGGCCTCCATCCGGAAGTTCCGAATCGTGTCCCTTAGCGAGGCCTCTGCCAAGTCCAGGAGGTCCTTGATGTCCGTCTCGTGCCACAGCAGCATCTCTTCCAGCAGCCACTCTGCTCGCGGTACCAGCCGCAGCAGCACTGGGCTGTTTTCGTCAAACTTGAAACAAAAGTTGCTCTCGCCTCCCATGATGAGCAGGTTCTGCCGAGCCTCTCGAGGCAGATCAGAGGCCTGGATAGCATCGAGCAGGCCGTGAAGTCTTTCGTAGTATGGCTTTGCCTCGGTGTATCCAGCAGCCGTGACAATGCCAATCTTAGATCCACGCCGCATCAGTCCCAGTATCTTTGGGATAATTGGATTGTCGGGCTCAAGATTCTTTCCGTCGTCATAAAGCGTCACATCTCCGTCGAAAGTCACGAGTTCTAATGGGCCATTGCGGACCAGACTCATTACCTGAGCTGTATTGAGAACCAGACGAACGTCATTGAAAGAAGGGGGCACAAAACGCCGGTGGCTAATGAAACGCCGCTGGTCCTGCCATATGAATGCATCATGCAGTGCTAGTGGTGTGAAAAAGTTTGCTACGGACGGTACCAGCAGCTTCAGCTTTGACCGGTCTGGCTTTCCATCTTTCTGGTGTTGAACTGTACCGAGTCAATACAGGCCAGTCTGGCTTATGCTTGAGGCAATCTCTGTGCTTCAATTACTCACTGTGATCGTTGATTATCTCTTCTACATCGCGCATAATCTCGGCATACCGCCGCTGGGCAATGTTGGCCTGCTGTTCGACCGATTCGCCATTGGGTTCAAACACGGCTGTAGGATGCGAGTGCAACACAAAAGGAACAGCCAACAGACCCTGTAAAGCTATGAGAAACTTGCCAATATGACTTTACAGGCACAATGGGTGTTACCTTGATCCATTCAATCTGTTACCACGGTTAGCCAAAGCAGGGAACAGAAAGTAAGTGATTCTCACAAGCTGATCTCTTCGATGAGTCTTCAGACGTATTAGCGGTGTACAGCTGAATGTTCAATTCATCACGTTACACACACCTTGAGAGCATCTACAAGACAGAGAGCATCGTGTCAGCATACTGGTTGCTTGCACAAGTAGCCATAGGGCAAAAAGCGTCAGCACTTACATTCTACACGATATCTTGTCGTCATTTTGGCAGCAATTCAGTCAGTGAGAGGGGAGGAAAGGAGAGGAAGATGGGAGAAGAAGCAATAAGGTATGAGCTGTCCGTATGGTTGAGGCTGTATGTCCAAGCTTATCGGAGTCCGCCGCTAGTGGCTGGAGAGGGAAGGGACCATGCACAGGTGACCTGTGGTATCCCCGCACAAAGTAACTACTACATGCACTACAACAAGAGGTTGTTCGATGTATGACCGCTATCACTGGTTTGACCATCAGTCGCCTCTCTGCACCAAACAATGGACGCAGCGCCAGGAACCTGTGGCTCCATGTGCAACGCAAGCCGACAATCGATAAGCGGGGGATCTACCAGCGGCCGCTACTGAGAGCTCCGACCTTTATGCAAGGGCCCACCGCGCCGGAACAAACCACTGCAACTCACCTTCTACAATCCCCTCTGCCGCTGCTAGTCTTGCCGTCGCCATGGATTCACTGAACAATGTCACGCTGCGGCCATGGCCAGCTACCGAAAAAGAAGAGCTGACTCAGGAAGACCTATTGATCAAGATTGAGCAGCTCGCAAGCGAACGGGGCCATTTGCGCAACATCACCGAACAGTCGCTGCAGCAAGACATTGACGCGGGAAAACACGTGCCCGACGATGCCGACGACACAACCAAGCAGGAGGACAAGGACAAGGATACGGATGCGCCCTCCCGCCAAGAGCAAGCAGAAAAGGTGTTCAAAGCAGGCCAGGAAATGTACAGCCACTTGGAGTACGTATCACCCACATATCCACGCCGACGACGCGACGTTTGACAAGAAACAGGTGGGCCAAGTTTGCTGCTACCAATGCGCTCGACCTCGTCTCCCTCGTCCTGTCGCAAGACCCGAATAAGCGCAGCCTCAACTTCTTCAGCCCAACCTTTCGCGAGCAGGGTCTGAATCAGGGCATCCCTCTCGGGTCGTTTGGAATGAGTCGGGAGAATCATGAACACCGCATCCGCAAGCCCGAAGAGCAGCAAAGGTTGCAGGATGTCGAGGCAAGACAAGAGGTTGTGGCACAAGGCGCACGTATGGACGCGCTCGACTCGTCAGTAGATGAAATCCTCAAGGCAGCAAAACACTTGGAGAAGGAAATACGACGAGAAACAAAGTACTGGCACCAGATTGTGTCCGTCTCAGACAAGGGCTGGCCTATTCAGCGTCTGCGCCAAAACGTACGTCACGCGCCTTTTGCAGTGCGCTATGGACTTCCAGAAGGTAGGACCAGCCCATTGAACGGAGACATACCAGAGCTGACAGAACATTTAGCGAGTGATCACTTTAAAGCCCGTGGTTTCGCCCCTCTGCAAATGGACAAGGATGGCAGCATTATTCTGGATCCGGCTCTTGCCCTAAAACCAAAGATACTCCGCGTCCGAATCAGCGTCGATGGAAAGATCACTGGAACATCTCAAATTTCAATTGACACCGAGCTCGCCAATCAGTCACTGGAGAAGTCCATTCAATTGGCACGAGATTCATTGTTCGAAGAAGAGCTATATTACGAGATGAGCTTGGAGACGCGACAGTTGTTGGCATACGGGGTCGAATTCCGAGACTCTGTCATTTATGTCGATGCGCCTCAAACGGGCAGCCTGTCGCAAAACCGCAAGCTGCTTATCGATTGCGTACCCCGAGACGATCCTATACCGAGCAGCCAATCTCGCGAGTACGACTGGCTGGCTAAGAATATTGCCGAATCACTCCGCCTTTTGCTGGCTCACGAGCATAGCATGCGTCTCTATCGGAGATCACAGCTCCCGCCTCCATTAACAGGAAAACCACGTGAAAAACAACCACCGCCATTGCTCCGTACACTCCTTGCAGTCCTTTATCACATTGAGGGCGTGGATTCGCTTCACGCCTATCTTGGATCCGTCGCGAAGACTCTCCATAGCGCTGGTCTGGACGTAACTTTGGAAACGACACGTGAGAATTCTTGGGCAACTCTTGTCGGAAGCTTAGAAGCATCATCCAGGAAAGGCATATCAGCTACTGATCAGCTCTTTGAGATTTTCATGAAGCCGTTTGGCGGAACTGCTACTTTGACCCTCCCTACTTCAAGCGGCGCACAGTCGGAGACCCTAAGTATCATTACACGCACCATCATTGGCCAACCCACGTTCGGCACCGAACACCGTCTAAGTCTTCCGTCTACGCTAAGCTCCGATCTTGGATTGTTCCAGCAGCAGAAGTTTGCTACTGTCGAGGAACTCAAGTCGTATTTGGACTGGATCCTTTCGCTCCACGTTGCTCATCGATTACTCAAGAATGACTACCCTTCACGCGCGCAGACCAGAAGTCAAGATGCGCGACTCTCGATTCGGACAAAGGACGCGAAGAAAGGTGTTGCATCATCAAAGGATATCAAAGTTGATTTCAATGACGGAAAGCTCAAGATTGCAAAGTTTGCTGCAGATACACCAGAGGAATCTGAGGATTCGGAACAATCGCGCACCTGGGTTGGGACAGATGGTAGCACCTCTTTAAAAGAGGTTGTCAAGAGTTGGGTTGGATGAAAGCCTTGACCAAACGACAGCTACAAGCAAAGTTTCAGCGTCCCTCCAACTGCTGCGTTGTCCAAGACTACATTCCATCCGACTTAAAAACAAGGATAGTCATGGTCGATTGTAATATTATACAAATCCCTACGACATCAAAAACACGAACCTTCTTGCTTTTGGTCCAAGAACAGGTACCCCAGTCTAGCTCCGTCCGCACCGTACCGCCAATGTCACATTGCATCACAAAAGCGGGGTGAACTGTTGTGAAGTCTAAACCGTAATTAGGTAGCTACTCTTGGATATAACCTCAAATGCAGAGCTAGATCGACCGTCACCCTTGTTTTTTTTTCAAGTGCGTGACACGTACATGACGTGGAGATTATTGTACTGCCTAGTCGTGTCATCTGAGGTCATTTTCGTAATTTACGCGTGCTCGATGTAGAGATGTATAAGTTGACGATGGCAGACACGATACAACCATGTATCTATACAGACTATTCGACTCAAGATGTTGGCGAGTTCAATTGTAGCGACATTGAGCACCTTGCTCCCTGTACTGTCGAGCGCACAGCGAATCCGCTCTGATCCTGGCGTCGCAGGCCCACCACTCGAAATCGTGCACCTCTACAATGATCAATGGCCAACTGGTACTTTTGCCCGATAGCCTACTCATCAAACTGATCTCAAACTTGACATTCCTCTAGGCATCACCGTCTCCAAAACTGGCCGTAAATTCTCAAACTACCCTTCCGGTCTGGACCCTAACAACACCAACACGGGCAGCAACAACAAGCACGCCGTAGCTGAAATCCTAGCCAATGGAACTGAAATCCCCTATCCAAGCGTAGAAATCAACAACCCACCCGAAGGAGCAATCAACTACACCGTCACCCCGCCCGTCGGCACAAACTACCCCAACCACCTCATCGGCGTCCAAAGCGTAGTCCTCGACGCCCAAGACCGCCTCTGGATTCTCGACACCGGCCGCGCCCTCACCCCAGACGGGACCCTCGTCCCCGCCTCCCCCGGCGGCCCCAAACTTATCGCCGTCGACATCTCCAGCAACAGCATCCTCCAAACCATCATCTTCCCCCCCACCGTCGCATACCCGACTTCCTACCTCAACGACGTCCGCTTCGACCTGCGCCCCAGTCTAAGCGGTAGCACCGGAAAGGGCGTAGCGTACATTACCGATTCCTCCAGCGAAGGCCGCAACGGCATCGTCGTCGTGGACCTCGGATCTGGAGACTCGTGGCGCAGGCTTGACGGCATCGCAGAGGTGCGTGCCGAGCGCGGTTTCGTCCCGTTCATCTGGGGCCAACCTATATACTACATACCCGGCCCGGGGCTTCCTCTTACCACCGTGCCCCTCGGCAGCGACGGCATCGCCTTGTCCGCGTCAGGCGAGGATTTATATTTCGGGCCTGTGGGCGGCAGGTCGCTGTATAGTATCGCTACGGAGCGTCTGCGGGATAGGGGCGATAGCAGTGCCGAGTTGAGGGCGCAGGCGGCGGTGCAGAGAAAAGGGGAGAGGGGCGTGAGTGATGGGTTTGAGACGGATACGAATGGGTTTGTTTATGTGGGGAATATGGAGCAGAATGAGGTTGGGTTTTATAATCCACAGAATGCGTCCGTGACGGGGTTTGTGAGGGATCCGAGGATTAGTTGGGTGGATACTAGTGAGTTTCTTTTCCCTTTTTTTTCCCATTCTTTCCTATTCTCTTATTTTTTTCCCTCTCTTCTGGGTGCGTTGATGCTAACATGGATACAGTGTCTGTTGGAAGCGATGGGTATCTCTACTTTACAGATAACCAACTTGCGTTTAGCTCGTCGTTTTACCCAGGAACAGATCGCAGGGAAAGACCGTTTGTCCTGTATAGAGCACCGCTACCGAATAATGGGTCAAGAGTATTCTTGCAGTAGAGAAAGCTGGGCAGAAGATAACAAACTTAATTTCTATATACAAAGGCTATACAGTCTATGTCTTACCAAAGACGAAAATTCCTTTGCCACTTCTGTATCCCTCAAGTGTATCTTTGACCTTGGCGATGAGTTCCTCTCCCTTGGTCTCCCACTCCCACTTGATCTCGTCAACAGGCATGTCTTTGAACTCGCCCTTTCGCGTCATGTCCAACACATCAGCAACAGTCTTCTGCTTCTCCTCTGGATGCTTCTCTGCCCACCTGCTGACCCAGAATCCATGGAAGTGAATGTCTTTGAAGATGAGCATCGATGCAGGGATAGTCAGTGGCTGCTTGGACATGGCACCATAGGTGACAAAGTGTGCGGATGAAGAAAGGAGCTTGGCCATTGCTGTCGCTGCCTTGCCATTTACACAGTTGAGCGCCAGACGGATGGGTGCGCGACCCCCGTTTGTCCATTCTTTGGCCTGATCCTTGATGCTTTGCGATTGCAATTCTGCATCTGTAATGACAATGTCTGCGCCGAGGTCTTGCAGTTCCTTCTTCATGGCGTCCTCCTTGCTCTTGTCGTCGCGGCTACGAATTACGTTAATGCTCTTGTAGCCCCACTTCTTGCCTAGCTGGATGGCTGCGCGACCAACGCCAGAGTTTGCCCCGTTCTGTATGAACCAGTCGCCTTCCGAGAGGGTGGTGAAGTCGCGGAGCATCCGGTAGGCCGTGCATGGATTGATAGATACAGTGCCGGCCTGGATTGCTGTGATTCCTTCGCGCATCTGCTCGTCGAGCTTTACTACGTCGTTGGTTGTGGCGCTTGCGTGTGTGCGCCATGTTCCGAAGCCAGGTCCTTTCATGAATACCCAGTCGCCTTTCTTAAAGCCTTCCTTCTTTACGCCTTCACCCAGCGCAATGATCTCAGCTACTCCCTCATTTCCGGCAACAGCAATTGGTTTCGGGGTGCTTAGGTCGGTTGTAAACCTGGGCTTCGACGGGTAGACACCTTGGATCTGGTTGATATCGGCGGGGTTTATGGGCGATGCGAGAAATCGTAGGGTCATGAGATTGCTATGAGGCGGCGAGATGGAGTGGCTGTGAAGAGACAGCACGGCAGGAGGCTCTCCATACTCGGAGAAGGTGAGGGCTTTTGCTTGTTCATAGCCATAGGCGGAGATGCAGCGACGCTGTGGGAGCCGCGATACAGTTGGCGCAAGATTTTGCGCGCGGCGGATGCCCGACTGCGCTGCCCGCGGACACTGGTTAATTAGCCTAGAGGCCATTGTTGGTATCAATTGGGTAGAGAAAGGTTCCTCAGAGCCTAAAGCTCACGGGTGGCGCTCACGCAAACTGCTACGGGACTACGGAGCTATGACGTTAGCTTAAGCCGGGGTTTGGTGGAGCGATGAAGCTTCGCGGTGGATTATTCCACCCCTGATCAACCCACATGTGTATGTTCTTGCTTGTAATTTCTGAGACTTTTGCATAATCCACGGAGTACATCTGCATCACCAAATATCATAATTCTTCAAATGCCGCACTTTGATCTCGGTGCTTCTATGCTTACCCACTCGGTATCAATAAACCCGGGCGAATACAAGCGTCTACCGCGTAAAAGATGATCATACTCCATTATAGACTAGCTACGACTTACTTAATCTACACATCTATTCCCTAGGCAATTGCATATGTGGCAGTGCAGTTTCACATGAAAGACAGTATAGCCAAGGTGGCGTTTCGTGAATGTTCGCGCTCGCGCTCGTGCTCGTAGTATGCCGTCTATACGCCACTAGCACCGCCCCACCTGCGTCATCGCACCCTTGCGTCGTCAGGCTGCGCCCCTCTCTGAGCTGGTTTCCGCACCCCTCACCACTGCTACAAATACCCCTGGCCATACGTGTCTCCTGCCATACACTCTACACTGACGTACTTGTTTCTACGTACTTACAATCCACTACAATCTAACTCCTTTCAAACTACAATACACATCCACCATCATGGCTGCCACCGTCAACGTCGAAAACATTTCCATGAAGACGAGCGAGGAGGAGATTAAGAGCTTCTTCAGTTTCTGCGGAAAGATTCAATCCATAAGTGTAAAGCCTACTGGCGACGACGCCCAGTCCGCCTCCGTCACCTTTGAGAAGGCCGCCGCTGCAAAGACCGCCCTTCTCCTCGACAACACTCAGCTTGGACCCAACTCTGTGCATGTTACTGCTGCTAAGAGCATCGACGAGCTTGCCGGAGAGAAGTCCGCCTCAGCCGAAGAGGCCAAGGATGGCGACCACCACATTGAGCAGGAACAGAAGCCCCGCGCACGTATCGTTGCTGAGTACCTCGCCCACGGCTATGCCATTTCAGACAAGGCCATTGAGCGTGCTCTGGCCGCAGACAAGCAGAACGGCTACAGCACAAAGTTCATGAACTTCATCAACAACGTCGACAAGAAGACCCAGGCTACACAAAAGGCTCAGGTCGTGGACCAGAAGCTCGGCGTCACAAACAAGGGCTACGCTGCCTTCAACACCTTGACCAGCTACTTCGACAAGGCAGCCTCAACTCCCACCGGTCAGAAGCTCCGTGCTTTCTACGAGCAGGGCAACAAGACTGTCATGGACGTTCACAATGAGGCAAGGCACTTGGCGGACCTTAAGAAGCAGAAGGCTGGGGAGGCTGGTGCCACTACCACCACGACCACCACCGCAGAAGGCAGCGAGAAGCCCAAGGAGACTGCCACCGCTCCTGCGCCCACCTCATAGACGACTTCTTTGAAAGACACAACACGAGGTTCTTTTCTTTCTTGACGATACCTACATAGCTTATAGTATTCATGAATGCTTGCGCATGATACCGATCACACGAGCGCGGAGTTTGGGATGAACTGGTCTGGGCAGTTATGAAGCAATAAAAACAATACATTTCACTCAGAATCCACTTTGCTTATTGGGATTCCTTGCACCATGACATATCTATTACGCGTCTCTGAAACAATAAAAACCAATAAAAGTCACTTGAAGCCAAAAGTCACTACCAAACACAATCAAACAAGGCAAACACAAACGCTCGCCCTCCAGAGAACTGTCAAACACTTCTTGTCTAGTA